CTCTCCCTGATCCCCCCAAAATATATTAAAAAGGCAGAAAGTATGAAGCTGGACTGGAGAATGAAGAAATTGTTTCTGGTCTCTTAGGTCCTAAGGAGGAACCTGTGTCCCCCTCATGGAGGGACGGGGTTGGATGAAGGCCCACCTACACGGCTGTCCAGCTTGGGACGGCTCTGCCTGCCAGGGCCGCTCTGCACTCCCCACCGCAGTGCGGGTGGAAGGGCCACATCCACGCAAGCGAGCGCCAGCACAGGCCTCCCTCCCTCGGGAGCAGATGATGAAACCTGGCTGGGGAGGTCGGTCGGGGCGCAAAGGTCTGTGTACTTTATTATCTTTCGCCCTGAGGAATGTGCCTTGTTTGGTTAATGTTTACTTTATTAAATAATCTAGTTTTGATCATGTCAATAAAAGTCAGTGCTACTTTTATAAGAAAAAATTGTATTTTTGCAGCTAATTTCAGAGCTCACATCAGTTCTTCCTGAGCCCGTTAGCTTTACCGCCACCTGGTGGCAGATTGCTGTAGAGCCGGGCAGGCCGGATCCAACCGCGTCGCCGAAATCCTTGATCCGCTCGTTGAGCACGGAGGTAACCCTAGACTTCTTTCTGAATTGCAAGGCCTGGACCTTAAACTAGAGACGGCGTTGCCGACTTTCGGTGGTGGCTGAGGCGATGACGTGCCTGTGTGTAGCGAACGCTTAAAGCATCCCAACTCCTAGTACTGCTGGAGAGGGACTTGGTGTCCAGGGGTTTGTCCTAGAGCTCGGTCCTTGCTGCTGCTGACTCACCGAAGGCCGCAGAAGCCAGGGCCCGCATCCAGGCGGACACTGAGCTAAATGAGAGGCAGAGAGAAGCTGGCAGGGCCAAACCTTGCAGAAGAAACGCAGCAGGAACAGTGCAAGACCTGAAGGACACACAGTCAGCCAGGCCCTGGGCGAGGACCCCTGGGTGCAGGCTGAATCAAAAGCATCAGCAGTTTAGGAGCAGACGAACTAGTTGGGGGACATGGGTGCTGAAAAGTCTAATTTGATCGAATCTTTAAAGGGACAAGATACATGAAATATCTAAAAATGTTCATTCACCCAAACTTGCAGTTACTCAGAGGAAATCACAGAAAATAACTGAACACAAAGCTGCTGTGCTGTAGCTTGTCTAGATGTTCCCGAACCATCAGGAGCTCATGGTGGGGCTTTTAGGAGCTGGCTGGATCTAAGGTGTGTGATACCTGGATTATGGATGTGCAATGCTCAATTAATCCACTAACTGGAATTAGCATAGTTCTGGGTGTAAATGATAGAAGCCCACCCTGGGTGTGGGTGGCACCAATCAATCGATTATATCCTGAGCAGGCTAAAAAGGGACAGAGGGAGGGCAGGCTGCTGCTTGCTGTCATCTGCCTGCCACACCATGGTCTGTTTCTCCTCTGTGGTGCCCCCGTGCCATGCTGCCCTGCCTTGGAGCCAGCTAACTATGGACTGAAACCTCTACAAACTGTGAACTAAGTGAACTTTGCCTCCTTTAACTTTGGCTGTTGGTATTTTGTCTCAGCAATGAAAAAAGTAACTAAGACCTGCTCAGTATTGTATAATTTATAAGAGAAAAAACCGGACATAAATAATAGAAGACAAATTAAATTGTGGTTTATCTATATGATCCTTAATTTATTTTTCAAAGGAAACTACGTTAGTTGGGGGTGTTGGTGGTGATTAGGCTATTATTAGAAACAGAGGGCACATGATAAAAGGTACAATTAAGTATATTAGTATTAAAAATTAAAAGCTATGTGCATCAAACCAGTCACGGTGGTATGAACGATAGACCAGCTATACAGGAGGCTGAGACAGGAGGATCCCTCGAGCACATGAGTTCAGCCTAGGGAATACAGTATGACCTTGTCTTAAACACAAAACACAAGAGTGGCCATGTAATTGTGAGCGGCGGTTATATTTCAATGGTAAAGCACTTGCCTAACACACAGGAGGCCCAGGACTCCATCTCTAATGCCGGGAAAATAATGCTTTAATGTACCTATAAGGTAGATCTTAAATGTACAATGCAAAACGTGACCAAACTACAGAAAAAACTGAAAAATCCGACATCTAAGTAGGCGATCTTAACGCTTTCCCAAGGAACTGAGAGAGCCCAGAGGCAGAAGGCAGAAGGCTTGAACTTTGCAGTTTGGAAGCTCGGTGTAAGCGCCCTGCGCAGGGGAGGAAGCTGCACCCCGAGCTCTCACAGGCTGGGGGAAGCCCAGGGACACAGCTGCAACCCCAGCACTCGGGAGGCTGAGGCTGGAGAGCTAAGTTCGAGGCCAGCCTGGGCTAAAGTGAGCTCAGGGCCAGCCTGGGCTCCAGTGAGACCCTGATAAAACCCAATCCAAACCAAAACAGCTGCAAATCCGGGGACACCGCCCAGCGCTCGGTGCCCAATCCCGGGGAGGGAGCAGGGGAGTTGGGGGCGCGGGAGGCCCCGGGGGAGACCGCGGCCAGCAGCATGTGTGTGTGGGGGGACCGAGTGGCCGGGTCAGCGCGTTTGGAGTGGCCGGCGGCCCCTTCTCCGAGAGCCTGCGTTCCGTACCCGGAGCGACCTCTGCCCGAAGGGGCCGCCCGGGGCTCACACCTGCGGAGTGGCCAGGGCCAGGCAGGAACAATGCCGGAGCTCGTGACCACCGCTATCCTGAGTCCCTGGATAACTGAAAGGCAGGGTTATCTTACATCATCGTTTGCACCAACTCCGCTCCACTTTGCTCCCTCTGTCCTAGTGTGGAGCCTCACTGCACGCTGCTTAGAGCCCTCCCGGGCTATGGAGCAGGCAGCAGGATGTGACAGCCACGGGGGTGGGCAAAGCTGCACAAATCCAGGAGCTTAGAAGTCACCATGCAGAGAGAGGCTGGGCGTGGTGGTGCACATGCATAATCCCAGCACTGGGAGGCTGAGGCAGGAGTGTCTCTGCATTTCAGGCCAGCGTGGGCTAGCTAGTGAGTTATATATATATATATATATATAAAAGAATACATCAAGGAAGGCTCCTGTCCAGAAGTCAGAAATCTGTACTACATAATTGTGAGCCACTTTCTCTCTGGTCCTCTTTGAGACAGATCTTATGCTTTTTCCCCGGCTGGCCTCAAACTCATGGATTCGAATGATCCTCCTGCCTCATCCTCCCAAGTATTTGAGACTGACTCCTGGTGCCACCATACCTAGATTCCTCGTTTTTAGCTAGAGATTCTGAGTCTCTCACCAGATAAATGAGGGTTCTTTCAAGGCTCCACTTAGTGTGAATCAGAGGTGACCTCCCTTCTCCTGCATTAGGCAGCCACTTTGAGGCCAAACACAGTGGTGCATGTCTGTGATCCTGGCACCAGGGAGGCTGAGGCAGAGGGGTCACCACGAGTTCAAGACCAGTCTGGACTACACGGTGAGTTCAAGGCCAGCTGGTTTCAACAAACAAACAAACAAAAAGTGGAGCTGGTTTGAGGTGGAAGGAGCCAGGAGTAGGAGCTGCCAGTGGGAAGCACCCTCCCCTGGGGAGTCTGGGACTTGGGCAGCAGGGCCGTCCCCCATGCAGCCCCAGGATGACTCTGGCCTTTGTGTCAGGCTTGACCAAGTGTTGCTGTGCTCTGAGTCCTCACGAGCGGTGCACACACGGGTCTGTGTGGAGATCTGCCCGTCTCCGATGCATACATGCATGTGCACACGGACGGCATGAGCAGTCCCCATGTCTCGTCACACATGCATTCAGATTCGCATCTAAACTGTGAGTCTAGGATGGAGACCCACTGCCCTGCCTCAGCGCGGCGTCTCCAACTTGCTGGCTCATCAGAATCACCTCAAACATTTGTAAAAACTGCAGCTTTTCCGGTACCTGCCCAAAATGCCATGAATCAGTATCTCACAAATTATTTCCTGAATTTTTTTATTGTGGTAAAATACCATACTCACAAAAATTTACCATTTTAACCATTTTTAAGTGTATTCATAAGTCCATTCATAACACATGGGCTGTCACCCATCGTCCATAATCCTTTTCACCTCGAGAAACGGAAACTCTGAGCCCATTAAATAATGAACATCGTTACCCACTCTTGCCGCTGGTAACCGACCTTGTAATTTCTGTTCCAATGGTTCTGACGGCTCCGGGTTCCTCACATAAGCTGGACTGCAGGACTTGTGGTTTTGACATGCTTATTTCGCACAGTGTAACGTCTCAAGGTGTCATTGGCATTGTGGCCTGTGTCAGGGTTTTCTTCCTTTTTATTGGCTGAGTGAAATTCCATTGTTTTCATCCATTCATCTGTCAGCAGACACTTGGTCGCTTCCATGCTTTACCTGTTGTGAATGACACTGCGGTCAGTGCGGGCCTCCTAATATCTTTTCTTTTTTTTTTTTTTTTTGCTTTGTAACCAGTATATTAAGGAAACATTCATACATTTCAACAATTGCTTAAATCTTGATCCCCAGATTTAAGCATGTGAACATATGACTTTTTAAACATACAGGTAAAGCTATTCATCATAATTTGCTACACTATTACCATTAAATTACAGTTATTTTGGAGCATTAAGTCAAATGGGTTAAATAAAGCCAGTAACATACCTAAGGAACACCTTCGTATATTATACATGCAAATTACCTTTCTGTGTAGTTTCTTCAATTTAATTTCAAAGTTATCCAGCTCTGAAGTCACAACTCAAGGGCTTATCACGGTCCAAAGAGAAGGGAAAAACAGTATAACCAGAACTGGTCAACACAGTGTGTGTGTATGTATGTATGTGTATATACATATATACACACACACTTATATTTAAAAGATGGCACAGAAGGGAATGCAATCCTAGAGATGCAGACCCTTAAGCAGCAGCATATGATAAACCTCTTCTTTAGAAAGGTATTATTTCTACCACTGATATCACAGGCTAACTTATAAATTTTATGCTACCTTCAAGTAATAGTTGAGGCAGTAGAATGCAGAGGCATTACAAATAACTACAGACAGACCAACACTTCCACAAACTGGTTCCTTTTTGATTGCCAGTTAAATACATTTTTAATCCATAGCTTAACAATGAAGAGTCATACACTAAAGTCAACACATATACCTAGCATTTCGGTCTAAGCTTGTCCATGTATACAACTGAAATCAAATTACAAAGGCATGGCCGAACAGACACCAGGGCTTGATACTTTTTACAGTCATTAAACTTCATCTTGCACACTGAAGTCATCATACATACAGGGCAAAGTCAGAGCTTTTGTATTTGTGTTTATTCTTCATTTAACTTTTAAAACTACTATAATTGAATATTGAAACAAAAACAACAGCAAGTAGTGAGCATATGATGATTACAGTCCTTCACGCGTTCACTACTGCACTAACCGCCAGCAGTGAGTGGTGTTTGCTGGCCCCATTAAGAGGTCTGACACTGAACACCACCTCTGGGATGGTGTTCGTCATCCTCATAGGCTTCTCCATTATAATGGCGCCGTCTTTCCTGATTTGGATCAAAGTCCACTAGTTCTACCTGATCCATTTCATCAGTCTCTTCTACTTCCTTCCGTTCGGGTAAGAGTTTTTCCAGCAAAGAGAGTTTATCAGGAGAGAGAAAGCCATTTTCAGGAAAGTTTACCTTAAATTCAATGATTAGACGACCCTTTTCATATGGTCTACGATAAATTGGCATGCCTTCATTTAGCACACACTTGATGTCTCCATGCTTGACAATCTGGCCTGGATGGGAGGTGATGACTATGGTTCGGTTGTCAAGAGTAGATATTGGCTTCTGGAAGCCACACAGTGCTTCAACCAGTTGTATATCCATGCACATGAAAAGGTCTTCTCCCCGTTGAGTAAAAACAGCATGGTCCTTCTGATCTAACACAATGATAATATCTCCTGGCTCCAGTCCTGGTTCTTGGTCTCCTTCACCATGGAATGTTATCTTCTGACCATCTTTCATGCCTTTGTCAATATGAACTTCCAGAATCTTCTTCTCTCTAACTATCTTCCTTCCATTGCAGCTCTTACATCTGTCTTTAGGGCTGATGCATTCTCCATGGCCCTGGCACTCCATGCACACAGACTGAATTTGCTGAACCATTCCAGGTCCTATCTGATGAATTCTTATTTGCATTCCAGTACCTCGGCAGTTGGGACAACACTCCACAGCTCCTTTCTTACCACCTCGGCCTTCACATTTGTCACAAATCACATTCTTCTGCAGAGCTAGCTTCCTTGTGGCACCATTATATAAATCTTCTAAGGTAACTGAGAGCTGATGTACCACATTTTTACCTCTCCTTTCTCTCTGCATCCTTCCTCCTCCTCCAAAAAACATATCAAAGATATCCATGGGGGATCCAAAACCGCCACCTGCTCCACCCTCCTTAATTGCCTGTTCTCCTCCTTTGTCATATAATTCCCTTTTCTTGGAACTTTCCAGAACGCGTTGCGAGGTGGAGGAGCCGTGGCTGCTCGGCCTGCGCACGGCTACGCGCTCCTTCCTACTTCTCCCGCTCCGGCCCAGCCCGCTCACTGCCTGTAGAAAATGGTGAAAGAAACCACTTAGTATGATGTTTTGGGGGTCAAACCCAACGCCACCCAAGAAGAACTCAAAAAGGCTTATAGGAAACTGGCTTTGAAGTACCACCCTGATAAGAATCCAAATGAAGGAGAAAAGTTTAAACAGATTTCTCAAGCTTACGAAGTTCTCTCTAATATCTTTTCAAGAACCTGTTTTCCACTCTTTTGAGGATCAACACAGAAATGGAGCCGATTGCTGGTTCCTACAATAATTATTTTGAGATAAGGTCCCAGTCTTAGACCGGGCTTGAATTCAAGATCTTCTGGCCTCCACCTCTCAGAGTGTCACTGTGGTTCTGATTTCCACGTCTCTAATGATTAGTGGGGTTGAGCTTTTTTTTTTCCCTAAGAAAATTTACTGGGGAATGGGAAAGGGCAATAGGATAGCTCCTGAAAGACAGGAGGGGTCCCAAGTGGGTTGCCCTGGGGAGCATCTTTTCACGTGTATATTAGGCACTCATATATATTCTTTGGAGAAATGTCTAGTAAGTCTTTTGCCTTTTTTTGTCTTTTTGAGACGGGGTCTTGCTATGCAATTGTGGCTGGTCTTGAGCTTCCTTTGTAACCCAGGCTGGTCTTGAACTCTCAACAATTCTCCTGCCTGAGCCTCCCAAGTGCTGGGATTGCAAGTGTGCACCACCATGCCTGGCTGCTTTTGCCTTTTTTGAATGAGGGTTTTTGTTTTGTCTTGTTTTTTGGCTATAGAAGTTTAGGGTTTTTTTTGTTGTTGTTGTTTTGTTTTTTTTGGTACTGGGGATTGAACTCTGGACCTCGAACTAGCCAGGCAGGTGCTTATACTGCTGAGCTAAATCCCCCGCCCAGAAGTTTAGTTTTTAATCTTTTTATAGTAATTTCTTATGAAAGATACAATTTTCCTATTCTGTGATTGTCTTTTCAATCTATTAAAATTGCCTTTTGATGCACAGATTTTTAAAGATAAGGCATTTTTTTCTTTCTTGCTAAGCTATATGATAGCCCTGTTTTTTCCCTTTGGTTGTCTATATGTTTTTGTTACATCTAAGAAATCATTGTTAAATCCAACGTCATGAGATTGTTGCCCTATTTTCTTCAAAAAGTTTCCTAGTTCTAAGTCTTAAATTTAGATCTTTGTTCTACTTTGAAAGCCCTTGGTTCAATCCCCAGTACCCTCTCAGTGGGGACGGGCAGGGGATTAAGATACACACAGTTCTAACTGTGGTTAGGTCACTGCTAGTTTACCCTAAACCTTCTGCAGGAAAGGAATTACACACACACATACACACACACACACACACACACACACACACACACACACACACGCTGGCATGCACCCGGCCCCTCCGCTCTCACTGGGGTCACCTGCACTGTTCTCATCTCCCACCTGGAGGGGTGGACAGCCACAGGGTCAGCTGGGGTCTGTGTGGCCCTCACGGGTAATCTAGAGCTGATTTTGTCGTGTTGCACTCACGCTCACAGCTGAACTAGGAGAAAAGGAAGCTCACTCACTAGTGTTAGAAATAGACTCTATAACATTTCATCTGGGCTGCAACACTTGTGTTTAAAATTCCTGTCACATTCATCCTCATTTAAACACAAAGACGCCCACCACATCATCACTTGTAATAGCCCCAAACTGGAAACCAGCATTATTCTCATCAGTATAAGAGTAACCAAATCAAGTACAGTTTATTTATATAGTAGACACCATGGGCCCGAAAGAGACAGCTGCACATACTGACCTGAACTGATCCTCAAGCTGTGTCAAGCGTGTCCAGTCATGGAGGCTCCCATTGTAGTTATGACTATATCGCCCACTCGGTGGTGGCCACAGGGAATGCCCTGTGTCTGTCAGGTCCGTTCAGAAGCCTATATCTCCAGCTCATTCTGGGTTATCTCCTCCTGGCACCTACCATCTGGGTGATGCAACGGCTGCCCCTGGAAATCCTTTCCTGGGCTCCTCTCCGTCTCTCTCCCATTTTGGAATGCCTGCTGTCTGTGCCCTGTGTCTTCCTGAGTTTTGGTCTATGCTCCTCCTTTGGTGAACCACATCCTCTAGCAGCTTCTCAGGAAAGCATGCATAGGAAGGGAATTCTGGGGAGACTGCAGACTGAAAAATAGGTTTGTTCAGTCTCTTGGTGGATTGATAGTTTGGTAGGCATGAAATTATTTCAGAATTCTAAAACCATTATTATTTTCTGGGCGCTGTTTTTGGTGTTAAGACATGCAGTGGTGCAAGGCACAGTGGTGCACACCTGTAACCCAGCACTGTGGGAGGCTGAGGCGGCAGGACTACAAATCCAGACACAGCCTGCAGAACTCAGCAAGACACTGTCTCAAAATGAAAAAAATGATTGTCACAGGTTTATTCCCAGTAGCCTCAACCCCAACACACCCCAAACCTGATTCTATCTTGGTGCAAAGAATATTCTTTGCATATTCACTGTCCATGAGATCTTTCTCTCCTGTGAAAGCGCACTGTAACACATACATGGTGAAAGCACGGGACCAGGTCCAGGTACTCGCTCTGCACAGACTTTAGCCAGCCCTCCTCGCTTTGCCCCACCCACTTCTCACCGGTGTACGGGTTTCCCTCAGCTCCCACATCCCAGGATTTCCTTGTGCAAAGCGCTGTAGCTTACCTCTTTTTAGCTTTCCACCTTCATGCATGGAAGCTGCCACCGTTTTGTGAAGACAGCTAACAACTGCCCTCCATTTTTTTTTTTCACCCAGAATCTTGCAAACAATTCTTACACAGTTGTCCTTTTTCTTCTTTGTCTGTGACGGTTGGTATCTGCACTGATTTGGGTGAGGGTTGCAGTGAAATAATTCCCAATACAGTCATATGGGGGGGCTGAGGAAATAATCAGGGCCACTCCTTAGAAAGGGTGACTGCCTTTAAAAGGGTTTAAAACATGTGTATATGTGCATGGATATGTATACAAAATGGTTAAGATGGTTATACCAGTGATTTCTCTGAGTTTGCTAAAGAGAGAGACTTGTACTGATAATTTGTACTGAAAGATTTCTATTAGGATAATTAAATGCATGTCTTGTGCTGCGGTTAAATGATTTGCAGATGTCAATGTGCAATGTATGTATCATTGTTCCCTCAATTGACGTGTTTTGAGATCTTGTTTGTCTTGTTTTATTCTCCTTGAAATAAAATGGATTTGGAAGAAAATAAAAATACAAAGGTTTTAGGGGTGCCTTTCCCTTCCGCTGTCTGAGGATGCACTGCCTGCCTGCCCCGTGTTCCCTGCAGTAGCTCAGCTGGTAGTGTGAGGGCTGCAGTGTCTCTGCGTTAGCTCGCTCTCCACAGAGGATCCATCTGCTAGGACCAGGCCCCTCACCAGACTCGGATCTGCGGATACTCTGGAAGTGGTAATGAGGGCACGGGAAAGCTGGCTGAGAAAGCAGCTGTGACCTGTAAACTACAGGATCCAGGACACACGCACAGAACTGTTCCCAAAACCCTGCGCTTGGACTTCTTGTGAGAGCACACTAGGTTTTCAACAGTACGGCCTGGACCTGATCGGCCGGAGGCCTGGATCCCGGCTTCGCCTCTCACGACCTGCACTTAGAAGCTCTCATAGGTTCCCTGAGATTTGGACAGTGTAAGAGAAAGACAGCCATGAGGAACAGCGCCATGGCAACTGTCCAGTGTAACCCAGCCAGTGTGTCCCAGACACGGTACTTTTTATCTTTGCTCTTGTCCTCTTTTTCTCTGTACTTGGCCCAGTTTTGCTCTGCAAAATAAGCCAGTTTCTTCTTCCATCATTTTAGGCTTTTTAAAAGACAAGGTCTTGCTATGCAGTTCAGGCTGACCTTGAGCTCACTCTATAACCCAAGCTGGCCTTGAATTCAGTGATCCTTCTGCCTCAGCCTCCTGAGTGCTGAGATCACAGGCATTTACTACCATACGTGGCTACTCTTTGCTTTCTTGAATAAACTCTGTTACTGCTTTTTTGGAGGTTAGCGGAACCTGGACTGTAGCTTCTAGGACAGCAGCCTGAAACTGGCAACGTTTGGTTGCCAGCCACTTTGAGACGTGCACTACCCAGTAACATCTTGACTTTGGACTTCTCAGCCTTCAGAATTGGGAGAAATACAGTTCTATTGTTTATAGATTACTTGATATAAGATTTTATTTTTACAGCAGCAAGAAAGTATGGAGTCAGTACCTATTTAAAAAAATTCTTTCTTGTAATTTTTGAGGAATTCCGAGAAGGCAAAGACAGATCAATATAAAGAGTATTAAACAGGCAATCTTTCACCATGATTGGTGAAAGCTACCATCGTATTGTTTTATTATGTTTTGTACCATAGAAGCTGTGATCCTCCTGCCTCAGCCTCCCTGAGTACTGTGATTCCAGGAATGTGCTACCACACTTGGCTAATAAAGTCTATTTTCTAAGGAGTTTTTTTATTTCATCTAATTTACTAAAGTTGTTTATAACATTTTTTTCAGTTTCTATCTATCATCTATGTATTGATCATTTATTCATGCTAGAGACTGACTCGGGAAGTACTGAGTTACATCTCTAGTCCTTTTGTTTTTGAGATGGTTTCACTAAGTCAGGATGGCCCTGAATTTGGGATCTTCCTGCCTCAGCTTCTGAAACAGCTGGGAATACATATGTGACCTGCCATGCTGGGCTCTCATTATGCTTTTAATGTCTGTAAGACCCATAATGCCATTTCATTTCTAATAAAAGTAATTTGTGTTTTATCTTTTTCTTCTTACAATTTTGCTAGGGGTTTAACTTTATTAATATCAAAGAATTAATTTTTTGCTGTTAAATTTCATCTGTCTTCAACTATTAATGTTTTTAGTACATAGTTTCTTTAGCTTTAATAATTTAAATTTTTTCACCTACTTTCTAATGTTTTTTTCTTAATTTTACTAAAGATATATGTAATGATCACAATTATGAGTTTGTACCTGTATGTGATATAACTAAAATTTTTTCCCCTCTTCCTCTCCTCTCCCTTTAATTCTTCTTGCCCTCATTTACAAAGGCTTTGCTTCCAGTTTTTTCCTTCAATTCTTTTTTAAAAATTTTCTCTTTCTTGTAAAATATAAAAATATTTAAAGCTACCTAATTTATTTTTTTTTAAATTTTATTTAAGGAAAAAAAGAAAAAAAAGCAGAAAAAGGGTACAAGTTATACAGAATTTCAGAAAAAAAATAAACTGTAGGAAATCACTAGTTAATGGATTACATATTGTCATCTTAGAAATATTTGTTCAAGTTACAAAATTGAAGCATATAAAGTGGACATTCAAACAGTGAGACTGCAAACAGTTCTGCTCAATGATCCAACAAAACTCAGTAATATCATTGTCTATCTTACACACTTAAATATACATGCAGTTATATTGTTTAGAGCACTTTCTTTTCCTCTCTTTTGTACAATGACTATTACACATTTTGGGTTTTATTGCTGCCACAGTTCTTATTACTTTTTTTGGAAGAGAGTAAAACCAAATGTGACATAACAGAACAGAGTCAGACAAATCAAAAGGGTGGACATAATAGATAATGTAAAAACATAATACAAGGTGATCAACAATGGTTACCATAATGCCTCCCGCTATCTCAAATAGAATTGCCTATATCATCAGTTATAATAAAATTGAACAAAACAGTAAAGAACGAAACCAACAAAACCAAAACACTGGAGACATTACAGGTCTTCAAAAGTAGATAATAGTCACCCAGAATGGGTGTCATAATGAATCCCACTGTCTTCACAGCTGTTGCCTAAGCTTTCGAACTTGGTACTATAAGCAAAACAGAATAGGGGGACATCAGTCAAAGCAAGATGGTGAGAGCAATACAGGGCTTCAAGTCAAGTTAATAGAAAGTCAAAATGGGTTACTATAATATATCCTGCTATTTTTAATTTATTTTTCCCTTAATTAAAAGGATAAAAATAAAAAAGTAAATAATAAAATGGAGATTGAGATAAAAGAGGGCATAAAAACAAAACAGCACAGATCAAAACATAACCATTTAAGCAGAATAGTGTTTCACCACAAGATAATCCCGACATAAAAGTAGTTACCATATTGTCTCTTTCCTTGAAATCTTTGAGTATAACTTCGTATACTGTAGCATCAAATATATCAAAACAATGTAAAACCATTCAAGAGAATGACAGTATTACAGGGTATTTAGAATCAGCTAACAGAAAATGAACAATGGTTTCTGTATAATCTCCTTGTCTATAAAAGTTTTTGTTTATACTATCACATATAATAAAATCCAATAAGATACAACATGTTAAGACTTATAGAGACAGAAGAACAAAGCTTTATGGGACTTCAAAACAAGATGATACTAAATCATCATTACCTATTATGATGTCATTTTCTCCAAAATAGTTGTTCCTACCATCTAACCTTCTCTGCCTCATTTCTGTTGAGCTCCTTTTCTGTCATTAGTTGTCAGTTTGTCTTCTTCATTTTGTTTTCTGCTCCATTCATTGTGGCCTCTCTGCCACTATTTCTGGATTCTTTTTATTTTTCTTTTTTAGAATATCCTGCAGTATTCTCTGTAGAGTTGAATTGGTGGTTGCATATTCCCCTAGTTCCTCTTTATCCTGGAAGCACCTTGTTTTTCCATCAATTTCCAGGGATAGTTGTGCAGGATATATCAATCTTGGCTGGAGGTTATTACCTTTCAAAGCTTGAATTATTCCCCCCCCCCCATGCTCTTCGTGATTTGATGGTTTGTGCAGAGAAATCTGCTGTAATTCTGATGGGTGTTCCCTTGTAAGTGATCTGTTTCTTGTCTCTGACGGCTTTTAATATTCTGTTCTTATATTGGATTTCTGGAATTTTGATTATTATATGCCTGGGTGTAGTTCTGTTTGGGTTGTAGGTGGCTGGGGTTCTGTATGTCTCATACATCTGAGTATCTTTACCTTTTGCTAAATTAGGGAAATTCTCCTGGATTATTTCTGCAAGTAGCTTTTGTAGTTCGTTTGTGTGTCCCTACCTCTTCTTTTATGTTCTTAATTCTTAAGTTATAGATCCTCTTATCATCTTCTAGTCTTTGTATTATTGTTGTTTCTTTGTTATTTTAAAGAAGTTTTTCATTTCATGCTCCCATATTACAAATCTGCCCTCCAGTTCAGATAATCTATTCTTGGTTTCTTTCAAGCTGTTATGCCAATTTTCGATAGAGTTTTTAGTTTCCTGGTAATCTCTTTGAACCTGCTTCATGTATTCTATGTTTTCTCTATTTTCTACATCAAACAATTCTCCCCTCTTTTTCTGTTCTTCCATTCCACCATCTATTTTTTCTTGGGTGGTGCTTAGCATTTCTCTGACTATTCTGCTTATATCTTGCTTCAGGTCATTAATTACTTCATTCCTGAACTCGTCTATGAGGCTCTGGAGATAGCACTTATGTCTATTGGTGCCATGTCTGCTATTGCCTGTTTCTCAGGATTGGGGGCTGAGGAGCCTTTCTTGTTGCTCCCTCTTCCCATATTCTTTGTTCCTTATATATGCAAGTGTATATAGGAGGCCCAGCTTCCTTCCCTGTCAGCCACAGTCTGTTTGAATTGTGCCGGCTAGGTGTTCCCACCCACCGCAGGGCACCAGGGAGTTACAGACCAGCCTATGTGGGGCCCGCCCCTCCAGGTCAACCTACCGAAGGCTTCACCATTAGGGTGCACCTCCAGGCACTGGGGCCTGTGTTGTGCTAGCCTACTGGGTCTCAGCCAGCAGGGTCACTTAGGCTAGGCACTGCTCACCAATCCCACTTGAGAGGGGGATATGTGACTGAAGTCACTACAGCACCCTGTTCCGGCAAGTCTGCCCGGTCCCAAGAATGTCCTCTGTTGGAGCCTCCTAGACTGTGGGAGAGTCCCAGTTTCCCTCACTCACCGCAGGTCGATGCATGACTCCCTGCCCGTCCTGCTCTCAACTCCGTTCACCAATTCCCATTCTCAGAGCTTTTTTGCATCTCTCTCCCTGCCGAGCTGATTTAGACGCAGCAGCGGTGGCAGGAAACCCAAATCTCGGCTTCCAATGGCGCGGCCTCCAGCTTCCACGTTGAGACTTTATCTGTTCCTGTAATAGCACCAGGATTGCATTCCCAGTTGGTTTTTCTCAGCCCAGTTCGTTCTTGGGTCAGCAGGGTATATCTCCTCTTGCTTAGGATTCCTCACTCCGCACCATTCCTGGATTCTAAGCTGGGTCTCTCAGAGAGCCTCTGTAGCTACTGCTATCTGTCCGCCATGTTCTCCCAGAAGTCCAATGGTGTGCTAATTAATGCCGCTTAAGGTTTGTATATTTGACCATGTTGCTTCTTAATCCCACATAACAAACATTAAGTTAACCTATATTTAATTTAACTAGCAGTTCTCATTGCAACAGCCTGAGCATTCTTTATGTGAATAGATGTCTTGCATTACTAAAAACCAAGTCTTAACTAAAAACATCCCTGTATTCTTGATTATTTGGATAATTAAGAATTATGGCCAGGGCTGGGAATGCATTTCAGTGGCAGAGTGCTTGCCTAACACATGGGAGGCCCTGGGTTTGATCTTCAGCACTGTGACACTCTGTGAACAGGCCAGGAGGAAACTGTGTTTACTAAAGTCGATGTAGTCACCTCTGCGAGTACATAACTGGGCTCCCTGATAGCGATGGCGATGGTGGAGCCCGTCGCCTGCTCCGCGGAAGCGCTGGGGTCCGACCAAAGCTACCTAATTTAGAAAGCAAGTACAACTTGGATTTAGCCTTTTACTAGTTCATTTCTCTGGGTTACTCAACCTTGCCAGAAATTTCTGATCTCAGGGAAAACTTCACAGGAGCTCGTAAACACAGCTCACCAGAAGATGATGCAAAAGGATCCAGGAGCCACTGTAAGAACAGTAACTCGGGTGTCCTGTGACTCCACTCTTGTTTGTCACTGTATTTGAGGCTGGGTATCCTGTGTTTCTTCTAAAGATGTTTGAATGTCTCCCAATTCTAGGGGAAATTTGTGCAATAAACACACATGTCAATTTGAAAAAAAAAAAAAAAAAGCTTGAAGAACCCTCAGCTCCTGTCTTGAATGCTGTTGTAATTACAGTGACTCATGCATACCTACTAAATAAAGCTTTTGGGTGTGAATGAAGGCTAAATGTGACTTCCCTTCATTTTAATGGCGTACACATACGAACTATCTTGCTAGATGGAATCTTCTGTTGCTAAGTATTTACATTAACTTAATGAGTACTTTTTTTTTGAGAAAGTCCTAGGCTGGCATCAAATTCCTGACAATCCTTCTGCCTCAGTACCACCCACCACACCTTGTGTGATGAGTCTTCTCATTTTTTTATTTTTTGGTCATAGCTTATATTTTTATCTTATTTTTAAAATTTTTATCTTTAGGGAACTAATTCTTAATCATTTTAACTTCTGATTCTTGAATACTGAAAAGTACCAAATGCAGCTTTAAAAAATACTTTATTACAAGAAATGATTTCTATTATAAAATTCACTTAAGAGTTCTTTATAAAAGGCATGACTGTGCTATAAACAAATTTCAAGCCTGGTATGGGGAGTATGCCTGTGATCCCCACCCCTGGGCGGTGGAGGGAGGCAGGGTCTCAGCTATGGGTCTGAGGACTGACCACACTGCATACTGAGCTCACAGCCAGCTGGGCCCATGGTCTGTCTCAAGGAAGGAAACTGAAAAAAAATTTCAAAATCCATCCATCAAAAATAAAAGGAATCCACCCATCAGATTATTGCTAAGTATAGCTAAGCTCAGGGGTTTGGGTCTCTTAGAGAGGACAGCAGGACACTTTACCTCATTCGCCTCCTCCCCTTCTCTGGCTCTGGGCGCTGCCACAGGTTGGCAAGGGCCCGCCCCAGCCCCTGCTGTAGATGAGGTCTTGCTGTGCTGCCAGAGCTGGCCCAGTCCTGGGGTCGGGGATTCTCCTGAGGATAGGCCAGGCGCTCACAGGGCAGCTGGTTCCAATCCATCTTTCAAAACACAGGCAGCAAGGGCCTCCTCACACGAGGTCTGCTGACAGAAAACCCTAACACATTTAGTGTGAAGCGAGTTTCCAGAAGTCTTTTTAAATTTTTCATTATATGGTTGCAGGGTCTGCAAATTCAACCCAGGATCTTGCCCACGCTGGCAGGCAGTCCACCACTGAACCATACCCCAGCCCAGGGCTGGGGTTTTTATGTGCCATGTGGACAGGGATTCCATTTCACTACTCCAGAGGTGATATCGTTCAATGGAATGAAACGTGTACCCCTGTAGATGACTTTTGCACAAACCAATGTTATCTTCTAAAAAAGCCCAGCGCTGCGCATGGTGGCACACATCTGCAAACCCAGCCCTCTGGGAGGCCAAGGCAGGAGGCTTGCAAAGCCTGGGAACTTAACAACTTGGTGAGATCTTGTTTCAAAATAAAAAATTAAAGAGCTGGAGTGTAGTTCAATGCAAATGCCCACAGATAAATCCCCAGTATTGCCCCACAAAGCAAAAACATTACCTCTTCATGGTTCCACACATTGATATGTAGGGATCATCACAGGTAGGTTAAAGTAACAAAAATCCTCTGAAAATCAGCCCAGACTTCATTTATTTATTGTATAAGTTTGGCAAACAGCACAAAAATCCAGCAACAATTTAAACATGTAAAAAAGAGTCAAATGTTACATAGTACTGGGGTTTATTCTAAAACATCATTACAATAATGAATACACATTTAAGATTCTGCAAAGCTAGCAAATGAGAGTGTCTGGCTTCTGAACAGATACCACAAAAACACACATCAAAAAAACAACATAATTTATCTTTACAAAAATTACAGCCAAGCAATAGAAAAGGATGACACGGTTAGAGGAATGATCACCATGTTCACTACAGAGATCTCACACGGGGAGATGCGACATCTCATACCCTGAAATACCATGTGTAGAGAGCCAAGCAGAGAAAATCAGGCTCATTGCTGCGGTTAAGAATTAATCTGAGAGGGGCTGGGGATTTAGCTCAGCAGCACAAGCGCCTGCCTGGCATGTGTGAAGTTGAGAGTTCGATCCCCAGTACAAAAAAAAAAAGAAAGACAATCACTAACGCTCGATTAAAACTTTCTATACAGTAGATCCTCAGTCCTACCAACGCACTCCACCCTGTATCAGAGAAACTTTCTGTACAACAGTTCCCAGATCCTAACAATGCGTTTCCCCTCTGAGAAGCTGAGACTTGTTTGCAGTATAAAATTTCTGATCAGTATCAAAATTCTGATAAAACACAAACTGAAGAAAGGCATTTTCTATTTTATATAGATGTGACAGGGACATCAATGAATGTGGGAGAAAATCTTAGATTTTGTAATAAATTACAGTTGAGCCTTGTTAAACCAAACAGCTCAATTATAAGGCCAGAGAAAATAAGCCCCTCTAATTAGTGGGTCTCACCAAGTCAATAAACAAATTCAGTCTTACAAAAAAAAACTCTGGACAGATCTGAAACAGTGGCGTAGAAAGGAGCCTCTAGAAACTGGCATGGGGATACTGAGTGTTTGGTTCAGAAGCCTGACAGATAATCTATTGGTTTATATTATTAATTAACCTTTTGGAATCAGCACCAATCCCCAAAACCTCAAATTACAATATGTAATCTTTATTAAATACATCCTTTTTGTGCTATGTAAACACAACTATAATCAAATTAAAGAAAGTTGAATTTATTCAACTTATGTATTTTTTCTGACACTGGATAGCAACTTAAATTCATGTACTTGTGCTTCTGTTTTGGGGAACTTTGACTGAAGAGAATTCATCTCACAGGATCACATCTTGCTAAAGCATTCCTTGGCATTGGTCCAAACTTGAATTCCCTAAAAACAAAAGGAATTTTTAAAAACTCAGTTCTGGAAGAATTATGAAAATCCACGCATTTGGCTTAGCAGTGTGCAGTACTTAGTTTTGAAATCCTTAATCTGTCCCGTAAATATCACATCAGGTCAGGAGATGGCTAATATAGTCAAGCGTCTAATATTTCTGAAAAAAAAAATGTCCTCAATGTCCTTTATCTTCAAAATGGAAAAAGAATTCTTACAACTTGTAAATGAGTTTTCAAGATTCACATCATAACTCATTTACTCATATCACTTCTATTTGTAAAGCAAACAAGTTTTCAGGCAGTTTTTTCAATGTGGCATGAGACAAGCCAGGAACTGTATCAGCCCACATTCGGTTACTAACTGAGCTCGCAGCCCAATCCGCGCGTGCGAGGCTCAGGCCCAGTGCCCCATGCACTGGCACTGCCAGGCAAGCGCTTGGCTCCACGGGCACAGGGTGACAGAAGCTGGCTCTGGGCTGCAGACCGAGCCGGGCCCTAACAGAAGCGACGAGACGCAAGTTTCTAAAGCTGAGACCGTAAAGCCTGTAAAACAAGAGGGGTAAAAACAAGGCTACCTTTTCAATAAACAAAACACGTATTATGTCATTAATGCTAATTTATGAGACAAGAGTTACTGATGCCTAGGCATGAAGGTAATCAGTATTTACTGAGGCATCGGACAACAGAAAATATACCAACAATCTTTGCAGTTTCCCTCTTCCCTGAAGGATACATGACACAGCCAAAGAAATAAAAACACCCCCTTTCCATGTCTCAGATGGGCAGGGTGCTCGCGGCCAGCAGGGTCGGGGTCACAGTCAGACCAGGTCGCGCAGCCGTGCCCCGCGGGAAGAGGGAAGCGCTTTCCCGGGCGCGCACCTTGGGAGGACCACGGGAGGGCGCACCAGCGGGGAGGAGCCGCGCCAGGGGCTCCCACTGACCACGCCTCCCAATTGTCATGCCCACTGTCTGTGATACTGGAGGCTGAACCGAGGGTCAGGTACGATGCCAGGCAAATGGTCTCCCTCGAAACTACATCCTGAAGTCCTTGATTCACTTTTGAAAAAAATGTTTTTTCAAATCTATTTTATTCAAACATAAAAACAAACAAGCAGAAAGCAAAGGAGGAAGAGGAGGAGGCAGTGGAAGCAGAAGCAGCAACTGGGGGCAGCAAGGGCGCGCACACACACTGTGCACTGTCACCCGCAAATCTTCACCCAGAGCACACGACGACACTTCTGAATTTTAAGACAGGGTCTTGCTAGTGTCCAGCCCGTGATTCCTATGCCTCAGCTGTGAATTATTCCAAAGTTCTACAATGGGCGTACGCATTTATAACAATTCAAAACAAGTTGATAAAGATGAATTGAAAAAGCAAGTAAGTATTTTAAAAAGCTTCAGCCCATTTGATTCAATAAACCAGACGATTCACTATCAAAAAGGTTGCTCAGAAAACACCCTGAAATATTATTTACTCACTTAAGTATTTCGGTATTGAGAACCAAATCCAGGGCCTTCACACTGAGCTGTCTGATTCCTTCTCCTCTTTTCGAGACAGGGTATTGCCGTGAGTTCAGGCTGGCCTTGAACTTGAGGCACTCCTTCTGCCTCAGCCCGCTGAGTTCTGGGACTACAGGCACAGACCACTACGCCTGGCCTTAGTCCTTTATTATTTATTTTATTTTAAAGTTTTACTGGGGGTTGAACTCATGACTTCCTGCTTGCCAGGCAGTGGCTTGTGCCACTGAGCTAAGCCCCTGGCTCTCTTATTCTTTTTTGATTTTTGAGATTGAGTGTTGGTAAACTGCCACGCTGCCTCGATGAGGCTCTACGTTAAGATCGTCCTGCGTCAGCCTGCCAGAGTGCTGGGATTATAGATGTACCACCATGGCTGGCTATTTCTTTTTAAAATACTTTGTTACTATGTTATTACTTTAACAGTAGCAAAATTTTTATTAAAGGCGGGGGGACGACACAGGCTCTGGAGAGGGAGTCTGGGCCAAATAAAAATACAGAAGAACTATATGTAGTGTGAGAGTGGACACTATGCAATAGTGAACACAGCAGCATGGTTTTAAGTTTTGCTTTTTTGGACAGGGTCTTGCTTTTAGTGAGGACGGCTGTGAACTCATGGCAGTGCCCCCAGTGCTAGCATGACATGTGTGTACCACCACACCCGGCAAAAAGATGGCTTATCGTTTTGTTTTGGTTTATTACTCCTGCAATTTAGTCAATAGATTATATTCAAGTAACAATCAGATCACACTTAACATTTGAAATAGGTACTAGTATAATAAAGCGGATATATTTTAAATTAATTTACAAGTAACATATACAAACCATAGGCACTCATTAATCCAAGAAAAACAATGTTAACCTTGACTTCTGACACTGAATTTTCAGTTTTTAAAGAAAAGGCCACTGTCAGTTTTCAAATGTAAGTCTGCTGGGTGTGGTGGCGCGGATTAGAGTGGGCCGTTCTCTTACACACACTAGGACTAAGACTAAAGACTAAGGTCGCAGACTACTGATCGAGGTTAACGGCGTCACCCAGGCACACTCGCTGTGCGACCCGCCTCCACTGGTCAGCACTACCTCAACGGCCGTACTTGTATGCTGTTTGTGGATCATCATTTTGTCTGCTTTGTACCCACCTCACGCACTGGTTCCCTAAGTTTCCTGTGAGTGGCGGGCTCACCGCAACCCACTGAGAGCCAGCCCTGCTGTCTCTCAGGAGCTCTTCTGAGTCCCCAGCCCTTTCCTCAGTCAAATTTCCTACTCTTAACCTCCGCTGCTTCTTACAATTCATCTTTCAACTTCGGGAACATGAACTCAGTGTGGCATCTGGCACCTGGCACCTCCCCTGGGTCACAGTCACAGTCACAGGTCAGAAGTGCCACTGAAGCGCGAGGCACTGGAATGGCACTGCCCGTGTGACTTCCAGTCACAATCTTAAGTTCTTGTAGAAGACCTGAAGAGCCGCGACAGGAGCTCCTTCAGGCGTAAACATCACTCTACCCAAACCCAAGAGGCCCACTTGCTTAACTAGTGAGGGGACAAAGGTCTCTGCGATTGCTGCCGACAGCGACGCCAGAGAAAAGGTTAGGACAAGGCTGCCGCCAGTGTGGTCATCTCGCCGACCGATCACAGGTTACGAGAAAGAAGTTAAGGAAACTTGTGATGTTCTCCACGAACAACGCTTTAGACGTTGTTCTGTTACTGTCAAATACTCTAACCAGACAGAGCCTCAGTGCTGAAGTCTTTGGCCAGGGGAATCAGCTGCCTGAAGGACTGACTTGCCCGCCAAACTTTATCATACCCCCGTTCTCCCAAATACCATTCCTCTATCCTCTGGCCAAAGTGTCCCGCTTATCAGATGTGGTGTTTTCCGCCCTGTCTGAGGACATCGTATAGTGAGAGCCCTGCTGCCGCTCCGTATTTTAAAGCACAAATTACAAACGGGCCACAGAGCCATGGGACACACAAGGAGTGCAGAAAGCGAGCGACATTCTGAGGACAACACTTCTCTATGGGCGTTAAGGAAGCATCAGGCAAAGTGCTGGGTGGGGAGAATGAGAAGGCCAGCGCTGCCCGCTGCCCGCTGCCCCCGGGGGTGCCCACCTTCCTGCACATGCTGATCTGCATGACGGCGTAGCTGATGAGGGCCTCCTTTAGGTCGCGGTTCTTCTGCTCTTTGAAGCGTTCAATATCAGCCCAAGCATTTTTCACAAATTCTCTGAAACACAGGGCATGATTGTACTGTTTAAGGGACACAGACCGTACATTGTAAACTTACTGAACCATTACTGAGCCTGTTTTTACTGTCTACAGAGAAAGAAAAGCTATTCTTCATTTTCTTTTTTCTTTCCCTAAAAATCATGATGGGGGAAAAAAGCACTTATATCCATCCATTTAAATAATCTCTGCTTTTGTCACCAATTCTTATTATTTCTTTTTTAACGAGCTTGTAACGTGTAGTTATGTCATGACGGGGAACGGGGATACAAATATACAATCGTGCCCATTTTCTGCCCCCTGCCCCCTTCCTTCCCCTTTCCTGTTCCCTGACCCTCTTCCGAAAAGAAGTGAGCCCAAGGCTCACCCTGCTTCCTACCTCTCCCCTTTACTCTGCTCTTTATCTGTACTTTGACTTCCTCAGTGAGGACAGACCACGTGGCATTGAACCTGCGGTGTCTGATCCACTTCCCTTAACAAGATCCACCATCTTCCCACGATGGTCTGAATCCACCCTTCTTCACGGGCGAGCAGCTCTCCGCTGTGGGTGTGCACTACACGTCCTTATCCAGTCATCTGTTCGGGGCATCGAGGCTCTTTCTAGAACTGAGCTGCTATCAACATGGTTGGTGTGTAAGAGTCACTGACTATGATAACCTGAACTCTTGGGAAACCCCAGCAGAGGCCCAGTGGCATCTCGGTTTAGCATTTAATTCTCAGCATGATGCTGTGTAAAGAATTAACTTCATGAACCGAGGTGCAACTGTACTGCTGGGTCAAGTGGAATTCTTATTTTTAATGTTTGGAGCAATCTGTGTCCTGACAGTATACTTTACATTTACAATCGATGTGGCTGGCTCCTTGAATCAGCTCTAAACCCCACCGGAGCCACAACGCTGCACCTTCCGGCATGTGAGGGCTGTGTCTACACGTCCTCCACAGCCTCAGGTGGGAGCTTCTCAGAGGTGGCTGGGTCCAGAGTGTGTGATGCTGGGACTGACTCGTGGTGCAGTGCTAGGATCCTGGGCCCTACGGCTAAGGGTGAGCGTGCTCCCGCCCTGAGCAGCCTGGCTAAGACAAGCGGAGCAAAGAGACGCTGTGAAGGTCTCTTGTTGCTCTGCCGTCTTCTGCCCAGCAAGACCGTTCTCCTCTGTGAAGCCACCCTGCCTTGAAGCCCACATCATGATGATGGGATGAAGCCTCTACAAACTGTGAGCTAAATAAACCTTCCCCCTTTTAACTCTGGGTGTCAGATATTTTGTCTAGGCAACGAGAAAAGTAACAAGACACTCACAGGAAACTACCCATTGCTGTTCTTCTTTTGTTGGTCTTTTAGAGACAGGGTCTTCCTTTCAGCCCCGGCTGGCCTTGGGCTCACTCTGTAGCCCAAGCTGGTCTTCACCTTGCAATGGCCTGCCTGCCTCAGCCTCCCGAGTGCTGGGATTACAGGAGTTCGCCACTATGCCCAGCAAACTGCCCACTCTTGACAATTGTGAGCCACACAGAGCACGCACATGGTTACGTGACCACGAGGCTTGGGGGAGACGTTACCCACCAGGTGCTTGGGAGGCTGACGTGGGGCAACTGCTGGAGCCCAGGAGTTCAACACCAGCTCAGACAATATGCTGAGTACTCATTCTGTGACTTTTCTAATTCTGTTCATGAAAGCTTCCTCTGACTGAATTAACAAAAGCACCTCAAACCCACGGACGCACGCTGGTCTGCAGCTTCGCGCTGGTCTATGCACTGTCAGAGGAAACCACCACGAGAATGAGCCAAACGGGATGCAGGTCTCTGAGAGCTGCGTTTCTATGACGGGGACACACAGCCGTCAGCCCCCCAACACCAACTACGTGCTACGGTGGCATAAATGGTGCTCCGAGGGGCGGGGACACAGGGCCAGCCTCACAGTGATGGAGCCCGGGAGCACGGGATGGGCGGCGACCAGGCTTGCTGGGTGAAGTGGGGGAGGAAAAGCCTGTGCAGAGGAGAGAAGCCACGCACAGTACATAACAGTAACTGGAAACTTCTCCTAAAGATACACGACCCGTATGTCCTGCTATCTGTATTTTTCTGTATTTCTGTATCTTACGTACTCTACACGTCCAGCCGGGCAGCATCTCGGCACGCTCACCTGCCTTCCAGGTTTTTAGACTTCAGCTGCTGCTCGCCTTCACCGATCTGCTCTTCCAGCACCTTTATCCGGGCTTCCCTCTGCTCTGGGGCCTCCTGACCGAACAGCTTGGTGGTCATCCCCTTCAAGGAGAACGTCCTCACAGTCTAAGAGGAAACGGGAGCGGATGAAGACACAGCCAAGCGCTGTCCACACGCCACGCCACACCATGCCACGCCACGGACTGTCGCTCAGCCCGAGAGCATGGCCATTCTGACGCCCGCCGTCATGGGACCTGAGGCACTCTTACAAGGACAGACACTGTGACGCCCCCAGCAAGGGCTGAGAGCTGCCAGAGTCAGAGGCCGGAAGGACGCAGGGTGACGGTCGCCAGGGGCGGGGCTGGCTGCAGAGGTCCAGGCTTGCGGGAGGAAGAGCTCTGGAGGGGCCGCGTGACAGTGGAATGTGCTGACCGACTCCGAGCTGCGGCTTCAAGAGGCCTGGTAGACTCTGTGTTATGCGTGTTACACACTCACACTCACCCTAGGGGATACTGGCACTGGTCTTGAGGGACAGCCAGGGGAATGAGAACAGGGTTTTTGTCCCAGGCAGGGTCTCACTCTGTATTCCAGGCTGGCCCGGAACCTGTGGCTGTCCCCCTGCTTTGGCCTCCCAAGTGATAGGCTTACAGGCATGTGCCCACCACATCTGGCTTTTAATACAAAATACTCAAAAAGGGGAAAATTACAACTGAAGTTAATCAGCTGAAAACTTCCATGTGAAATATCAGACATTATATATATTACATTAGTAGTCATATTTTTAAAAAAATTACTGACACAGAATATCACATTCAAAAGAAGACTATGTAACCCAAACTAAAGCAGGCATATTTGAAATCCGTGTACCTCACACTGAAACACGGCGTCTGTCCGTAAGGCGGGCAGACCTCACAGGGCAGCCTGAGCATCAAGCTCCTCACTCTCTCAAGCCTGCTGAGGGCACACTCCTCCCTACACACAGCAGTAGACTCATGCTCCCTGGGAACTGTCTGGGGACTTCCTGAGTTGCAGGAGTAAACTGCAGGCCTGGTCTACACACAGCTAATTATCAGGGGCTCTGCTCACAAAAATCTATGGCTCTTCACAGATTAGCAAGTGGGTGACCTATGTGAAAAGTACTTTACACCTAAACTACTTGTGACCTATGAAGTAACTGCTGAACGGGGACCCTGCTGCTGCCGATCTGTGAGATCCAGAACGCACCTCACCACGGCGGTGACTGTATTCTAGTGAAGCAGCTGCAAAGCACAGAGCTGACTACAAACACGGTAATCCAGCAGGTGTGAGCACCTGGGAGGTGGCTGAGGCGGGAGGATCGCCAGGAGTGTGAGGGCAGCCTGGCTACACAGTGAGCTTGAGGGCAGCCTGAAATATACAGCAAGACTGTTTCAAAAAACGAACCCAAACCAACCACCTGCCCTGCCCACTCAATAAGACATAGAACTTTCTTCACAAGTGCTTCTTGTGAAAATTAAAGTACACAAAGAGCTCCTGGTTAGGAGAGATGCAGATTCTAAATGGAAAAGGTTTCTAAAGTAAACTAAAATTTCTGTAAAATTTGCCAAATGAAGCCTCAGACGTTCTTGTAATGCCATGGACTCTAGCTCCGATGGCTGGGATCTAGCTCTCCCATCTACAGGCCTTCTCACTAAGCTACATCTCCAGCCCTTTTTCAGTTTTTGTTTGAAGATAGTGTCTCACTAAATCACCCAGGCTGGGCTCCAATTTTGCTGCCACGGCCTCCCAGACTGCTGGGATTACCGGTGTGTGACACCATGCCTGGCTTGAGCAGGGTCTGATGAGCTGCAATCCTGTCTCAGGTCAGAAGCCACGCCTGGCTTTGCTGACAGCTTTTCATACCAGGACAACCACCACAGCACTGCAAAGCTGCTCACAGATGATTCTTCTGCATAAGGTCAAGTGTCCTGTGCACTGCCACACCAGCCTTGCCTGCCTTCACGAGAAGGGAAGGGGGACACTCACCCCCGTGGCCAGCTCCTCACACTGCTGCTTCTTGGAAGCAAGGTCCTGCGCGGCCGTCTCCAGGTCGTACTGCATGAGTTCATGCTTCCTGCACACGGCCCTGGGGGGAGAGAGAGACCGCCACATAGCTCTCCTGCCCTAGCCTCAGCACGGTAAGAAGCCTTTTTCAGGAGGGAGAGGGGGGCATTCACAATGTCTTCCAGGCCCAGCAACTGAATATCCAGAATTTTCTTCTTCTTAAAAAGTGTTTTGGTGCTGAGGGTTGAACCAGGAACCTGGAGCCTGCCAGGCAAGTATTCTGCCATTGAGCTAAATTCCCAGCCCCACACAGAATTTCCAAATGCAAACTATAGTAACACTAAAAATTAAACCTAGTGAAACTTAAGTTAGAAACTTTACATATACTGAAACAAAAACTATGGTTTTCATTTTTTTCAATGCATATACCAATATTATATACTTTTAAAAAAACATATAAAAACTGATGCTACCATGTCAAGCAGCAACTTTCAAAGGATAGTACCTAGAGCTGTCTTCCTTTTTAGAAGAAACATCTAGCCCAGCGTGGAGGTGCATGCCTGTAACCCCAGCACTTGGGAGGCGGAGGCAGGCAGGATTACACAGTGAGTTCAAGGCAGCCTTGTACTACACGTGAGACCTGCCTCAGCTCCCCTCACAAGTAAAAGAAATGTTCATCAGCTTTTCTCATCACAAAAGCAAGTCGTGCTTGCTATTAAAAAAGGTTCTAATACAGAAATGTCCAAAACAAAACAGGGAGTATCACGAGCCTCCTTCCCCACCCCGATCCAGGCACAACTCACAGTGCTAGAAGGCTTTACCTTCTAGCATTCAGCAGGGCATTCACAAACACACATGCCACACACCCCAGCGCTTCTGTGTACTCCGCAGTTAGCTGTGGACCACAGGCATCTTTTCAGATTAATACGAATTAGTCATTTTTATTATTTTTAGGGGTGAGAGAATTTTATATATTCAGCAACTTTGATTTGATTTGAAAACATCTTGGTGAAATTCTCTACACTCAAAGCACTAGGAGAAAAAAAGTAACAATATGCAGATGCTCCCACAGCAGTGAGAGCTAGAGGGTTATCACTCCTCTGTTTTCCTAACAGCATCCTTTTATGTGTCAGGAAAACTGACTGAAAACTAGGTATGCCAGAAAAATAACCCAGTTTTCAAAGTTAAACAGAAAATATTACAACAACTTTTTTCTTAAACAGAGCTGTCTAACGGATAATTCACACCATCTACCATTTCTATTCCTACCACTTTACAACACAGAAGAATACAACGAGCCTTCATTCATTCGCTGAGGGAAGGGGTTCATTTTAAAAAGTATCCTGCAGATACTTATTCTACAGAAGCAGATACAACTCTGAGAATCAGCTGTAAAGGCTGCATCCAGAACTTTCTACTTCCAAATACTCACCGTAGTGCTTCTGCATAGAAAAGGTACTCTTTTAACTGATCTGCATAATGTTCTTCATCTTCTAAAATGTCATCAATAGAAGACGCATACCTGTGTAAAAACACTGCATTAACAGAGAAGGTTGGCTGGGACACAACGCATTCAGGTTCTCAGGGAGTGCTACTTAGAGTGTGAGCCCCAGACCACCTGCTCTCTGTCAGTGACAAATGAGAAAGATGACGATTAGCAGGCAGAAACACTGACAGCAATATGCAATTATGCAATGACTATGCCAAATTTCACTAAGTATAGTGGTCTAGAAATAAAAAAAGGTTGAAGAAATGGCACGACTGGAATCTTTTATTCCAAGATACTACAACAGGGCTGTAAAACCTATGCAAGGGTGTGTCTGGCCTCACTGATGCACACATGTTCTTGGTGGTGACTATATATAATAATACCAAAAAGCTACAATGGGAAAAATGAATAAATAAAAATTAGAGAACATCTCTGGAGACTTTCTTTGCACTGTTCTCTTTAGCAGGCTCAGCTGCCCCGAGGACGAGCTCTTCACTGCTGGGTCCCTCCACCTCTGTGACCAGCCTTCTCCTCCAAATCCAGAGCACACAGCTCAGGCTCTGTGTCGTTTCCCCAGACTCCTCCAGTCTCTACTTGAGGATCTCGGTCAGTAATTCAGAACTGTATCAAAGTAATGTCTTGAGGGCTGGTTTTTTCCGGTCACACTGTAAATCTGTGTGGATGAGGGGCTATGTGTACATCCAACTGTATCAAAGAGCTCATCTTTCCTTCAAGCTAAGTCTGATTCCTTATCATGCAATAAAAAGCACATTTATGCTTCAGGCCTGTTTCAACTAGGCAAATAAGCAAAGTTTAACAAAGCTGTAAAAGTAAACGTGTAAGATGATGTTGAAGTCTATCTGGAAAGCAATGTGTTTACAGGGTTTACTAAAGCAGGCAAAGTACACAATCTGTGATTACAAACTTACACCTACTACTGAGATACTGTATTCATAACTAAAAACAACTGACTGTCACTTTAAAAAACAGTAAGAACACTTGTCTTATTTTATAAATTTATAACCCCAGGAGCATTAATGTTAAGAAAGAAAAAAGCAAAAACAAGCCATAAAACTGGTGGCTGAATACAGGCGGCACCACGCAGGGATGGACTGTCCATCTGAGGCTGGAGAAGTGGTGATGGGAAAAGGTTTTAGGTATCACTAGTGCGGACGATTCTATTAACACTTCAATGGGTCAACTAGAAAGTGGATCCTAAATTCCTGCAAATATTGAAATACTAAATCAACAGAGAGCAAGAAGACTATTGTGAAAGAAACTGAATGAAGAAACAGCCAGTTGACTTGAACATGGCCTAAAAGAATTTAGATAGAACATTTTTTCACTCTTCCCCATTGCTTTAAGACATAAATGACAAAGTTAGCATACACTGGCAGTGTACAATGTAGTGTTCTGATACATGTACACGCTCTGACACAACTAATTCAAACTAAGTAACGTATCTCTCACCTGACATCCTAGTTTCATGTGTGGAGAGATTATTTAAAATCTGTTTTTTCTCTTTTTATTAATGAGCTGTAGGAATTCTCTATATATTATGATGAGAAATGTTTGCTGCCAGTATGTAGTTTGCCTCTTCACCTTTCTTTTCTTTTTTGGGGGGGTGTTAGAAAAATACAGGCCAGTCTTTATTTATTTAGAGACATGGTCTCGCTATGCAGGTCAGGCTGGCCTTGAGCTCACTTTGTAGCCCAGGCTGGTCTCAAACTTGCAACAATCCTCCTGCCTCAGCCTCCCGAGTGCTGGGATTATAGGAGTGCACTACCATACCCAGTAAATATTTATAACTGATAAAAAAAATTTATCTTTATGTTTTTTTTTGGAGGCAGGGTTTCACTATGAGTTTCAGGCTGGCCTGGACTCACTATGTAGCCCAGACTGGTCTTGAACTCATGGCAATCCTCCTACCTCAGCCTCCTGAGTGCTGGAATCACAGGCGTATTCTACATGCCTGGCTGGTGTGAACATCACCACCAGCAGTCTCTGGAGGACTCAGTCACCTTCTCAGAAGCTTTGCTCCCCATTTAACATCACCTCCTTCCTTCTTACCCCGTGCGACCTCTCTTGATAACCATCAATTTTATTTTTTTGTCTTTTTCCTTTTTATCGGTACCAAGGATCGAACTCACAACTGCCTACTTGCAAGGCAGGCGCTTATGCCGCTGAGCTAAATCCCCAGCCCCTGATAACCATCAATTTTAAATTTTGATGAGGATCAGTTTTCCAGTATCTTCTGTTTATGTCCTTCTGAAGAAATCTTCCCTTACTCCAAGATTACAACAATGTTCTCTGTCTTCTAATAAAAGTTATACATTCGGTCTTTACACTCACACATGGGATCTAAGTTGAATTACTGTACTTTTGTGTAAAGGGTGAGCTACAGTTGAGAGTACCCCACCACGCAGATACCCAGTGTTCCCAGCACTGTCTGTTGCTGGAGGCTACAGAAGCATGGGGCTATTTCTAGACCACTGATCTGTTGTTTATTTTTACTCCAACACCTTATTATCTGTTTAGCTGTCATATAACTTAACAGTCACTCTTAAAAGCAGGTAGTACATTCTAGCCTTGATCTTTGTTCGAATTGTTTTGGCTATTCTAGGTCCTTTGAATTTCCGTATAAATTTTAGAATCAGCTCATTAATTTCCATAAAAGCCGCTAGAATTTAATAAACTTCAAGTGGGGAAGAATGAGCATCTTGAAATTGGGCACTGTACTCCACGAACGTGGTTCACCCCTAGTATTCTAAGTTTTTCTCAGCAATGTTTTCTACAGTTTTCAGGGCAGAGGTCTTCTAACATCATTCTTTAAATTAACCCCCATTATGTTTTCACATTATTGTAAACAGTTTTGCTTTAAAATTTTTATTTCCTAACTGTTGGTTTTAGTACACAAAAACAATTCATTATTATATCTGATAACCTGAATTCATGTTAAATTCAATTGTGTTAATTCATTATGACTTTCTTTGTAAAGTTTTGTTGATGCAAATAAAAATGATTTTACTTCTTTCCTTTTCCTAAGCTCCTTACTTAGTTTTCTTGCCTCATTTCGTTGAAGACTTACATACAGTACAATGTTTACTAGAAGGGGTGTGGCCAGGCACGCTTGCCTGGTTCCTGACTTTAGGAAAAAGTATCAGTATTTCTCTATTAGGAAAAAGTATCAGTATTTCTCTATTAAATAAATCAGTCTGTCTGTCTGTCTACCCTCCCCCTTTCTTCACTGCTTCCTTTTGACACAGGGTCTCCCTACGTTGCCAAGTCTGGTTTTGAACTCACAGGCTTACACCGTCCCACTTTAACCTTTGGAGAGGATAACAGAGGTGGTACACCTACGGTGCAGGTGTTATTTTTGTTTTACGACAAAAGATATTAATGTAAAAATTGTTCTTTTCCAAACTGAAACCTCAGTATTCTGGTTTAATTGCAGTGTTGGCACTTTGCAACACGTAAGTAGGTTTTGGGTTGCAACTTGGGCATGCATCTCTAAAAGGTTTGCCATCACTGGGCTAAGACCATACACTGCTAAGGCCATACACTACTGTGCCTGCACTAATTATATTACCTATAAATTTCAGGGTGAAGAAATTCCTTTTGATTTCTAGTTTGATGAGAATTTTTATTGTCAATGGGTGCTGAAATTTGTTAAATAATTTTTACAAATATTGAAATGAATGCTCAGGTTTTCACCTTCTTTTCGTTAATACATGAGTTAGACTCATTTTTAAACATTGAACTAACCTTGCATTCCTGAGATGAATTTAAGTCAGATCTGTATCTATAGAGCACAATATAAACACCAGGAAACTTGATGAAAATGCACAGGAACAGCAGAGTTACAGACACTCCCACCACGCTTTGCACCCTGCGTTACTCACACGTCCATGTGATGCCCAGCACTCTGCAGGCCGTCACCCATCTCTTTCTCTATGGCACTCCATTCACTAGCGAAAAAAAGATAAAATCAGACGCATTATGGAACATCACTAAATGGAACCTTCTGTGTTTTTCTAGTAAATTGGAACCCAAGAGCCTCAAGTATGCTTAGCAAACACTCAACCAGCTGAGCGCCACCTTTGGCCTTTGGTATCTCATTCTGAGATGGGGTCTCACACAGTTGTGCAGGTTTGAACCTATATCATCTTGCATTAGCCTCCTGAGCAATACCACACTTTGCTAACCCTTTTATAGGGTTCTCCTTCAGCTAGCTTTTAAAAATACTGTATACCATTCCCAGATTTCTCGTGACTCAAATATGTTGTCCCTATAAGTTTAACAAGTAAATGTAAGTGAAGGCTTTAAAAATTGATATCTGTTGCTAAATACAAGGACGTACAGTAGTTCCCAACTTATAAATATTTCGAGTTGTGAAATTTCATAGGTGTGCTGCCTAAGACTCACAGTGGACTATGACGCACAGGTTTACTGCATAAGATTCACAGATGAACCATCACAGACTCCCAGGGGTACTACATAAGACTCACAGGCATGCTGTACAAGACTCCCAGATGTACTGCACGAGATTCACAAGCGCACCATCAGACTCCCAGGGGCACTGCCTAAGAGCCACAGGTGTACTGTGAAGACTCACTGTCACGTTGTGAGCAAATCGGATGAACTTTCTCCCAGAATGGAGTCGGGGACTCACTGTATACAAAATGGTTTCTGCTGATGGATTAAAAATATTGATGTGGGTCTTACTCTTGATCTACTTAATATAATCTCTAGGCTATGTATGAGATATGATAAATATATAGAGAATGTTTAAATTTTAAACCATTACAGCAAAAGACACACTGCCGTTAATCCCTGGCAGAACACTCCTCCCCTGACATACTTCTCTCGTTGTCCCAGCACTGTCCGAGGAAGCTCCAGCAGTCCTCTCCGTGTCTTTAGTTGCACTGTCCAGGCTGCCTCAATGTCCTGAACAGATTCAAAATGCTTACCTCTCACAGCCATATTTTTTTCTTTCTTTCTTTTTTTTTTTGGTTTTGGGGATCCAACTCACAACCCCATGCTTGCCAGGCAGGCGCTTATGCCACTGAGCTAAATCCCTGGCCCTCATGGCCATTTTGACCACAGGGAAGAGGCAAGTTGCTCGGTGCCAGATCCAATGACTAAGGTGGACCAGGGCACACCGATGTTTTCAGAAGCCTCCCTTTTTGCCGGATGGCACTCCGCAGGAGCACTCACTGTATGTTTGGTGGCACATGGTGAAGACACAAACAAGGACTTCCAGAACTGCTTGTGAGAGCAGCAGGAACGAAGGGGCAGCCGGCTGCTCACGGTGCCAGTGCACACCTCAATCCCAGCACTCGGGAGGCAGCTCAGGCTGGCCGTGGGCTCACAGCAGCCCTCCTGCCTCAGCCTCCCAAGTGTTGGAATGACAGGCATATGTCACCATACCCAGCTTATGAACTACATTTTTATATTAATTCAGTCTTATGACATATACTGGAACATTCCGGGATATTTTTCTTATAAAAATCTGAATAACTTTTAAAATGTTACAAGGACATATAAGAACAAGCAAAAAAGAAAATCACTCAAAACTAATCAAAATATTGGCTTGTTGTGGTGGTCCATAGCTGCAATCCCAGCATGGGGAGGCTGAGGCAGGAAGGCTGAAAGTCTGAGGACAGCCTGGGCTCACAGCAAGACCCTGCCAGATCAATAGGTGAGACAGGGACGTGGCGCACTGCACGGGCTTGACTTTAATCCCTAGTGTGGAAGGACGGGGGCAGAAAAAGCTCTCTGCAGAAATGCTTGTTCTCCTCATCATGGGGATCAAAATCAAGGCCTTACAAACGTTGGGCAACTGCCCTACCACTGAGTTATACTGGCTACAAAAATACTCAAATTACCAATAAAATTATCCCACTCCTGTAATCTCTGCTACTTAGGAGGCTGATGCAGGAGAATCAGGATGGCAAGTTGGGAGGCCAGTGTGGGCAAGTCAGTGAAACTCTGTCCCAAAACAAAAATGAAAACAGGCTGAGCACCTGGCTCTGTGGCGGAACACTTACTACCAGAGTGCACGCTGGGCTCACCTCTGGAAACAGCAGTGACAACAACTTTGAGACTGAAACACTCAGCTGGAGAACGAAAGGACACAGAGTTTTCTTCCAGAATGTTCTCCAGCATGCTGCCATCGGGTAAGAGCGTTCATTCCTGCCTCCCTCGGAATGGCTTCACCTTCACCTGCTCAGCGTGGTGAATTTCCTGACTACTTTTTGATGGATGAAAGAAAGGCTTTAAAATGAAAAACAGAAATTTGAAAATCTGAAAACCATTGCCATGGGACATTAATTTAAAAAGTAATGTTTTACCCGATAGGCTCAGAAATCTTCCCAAGTTTCACAAATACCGTTTTATTTATTGTTTGTTTGCTGATTTTTGAGACAGGGCCCCTCTGTGTAGTTTAGGCTGGCCTTGAACTCACAGTGATCCTTTCGCTTCAGCCTCCTGAGTGCTGGGATTACAGGGGTACACCACCAGGCCCAGCTCTCATAAATACTGTTCTAAAGCAAAACACCTAATTAATCTAATTATTTATTTAAAAGTCATGTAACACTTACCTGAACACTCGCCCGTAATTCCCATGTACTTTATATACTCCATAGAGTCGATCTGCTACTCTCTGAAATATTTAACAGAAGTTGCTGTCAGATCAAAGTTATAGACAGATTACTTTGAAAAGTAATTTCACTCTCATTCAAAGTAAACAAAGAATCTCCCAAATGCTTAGCACAATAAATTTACAAAGTACAGAAGTAAAAAATTATTCTCTCAAAACTCATCGTACACACAAACAAAACTGGCACGCCCTACATTTACCGTATCTTACACTTGCATAAATCTTTAATGCTTAGTTTTTAATTACTATCTTTAGTTCCCCACAGCAAGAATGATAATATTTTTTCCGGGGATGGCAGTGCATGCCTGTAATCCCAGCACTTAGGAGACTGAAACTGGAGGATCACCACGAGTTTGAGACCACTCTAGACTACATAATGCGTTCAAGGCCAGCCTGAGCTACATAGTGAGACCCTGCTCAAAAAAGAATTTTTTGACCAGCAAAGGAATGTTGTCTTTTATAACTACCACTGGAAACAGCTGCTAAAATTCGATGGCATTGTATATAAAATGAATACGCTATCTTTGTTGGAAAACCTTAATGAATATTTATTTATTTTTTTAATTTTATTTAAGGAGAAAAAAAAAGCAGAGAAAGGGTACAAGTTATACAAATTTATAGAAAAAAATAAACAGTAGGAAATCACTAGTTAATGGATTACATATTGTCATCTTAGAAATAATTGTTCAAGTTACAAAATTAAAGCTTGAAAAGTGGACATTCCAACAGTGAGACTGCAAACAGTTCTGTTCAATGATCCAACAAAACTCAGTGATATCATTATCTATCTTATACACTTAAACATACATGCCGTTATATCATTTAGAGCACTTTCTTTTCTTCTCTTTTGTACAATGACAATTACACATTTTGGGTTTTGTTGCTCCCACAGTTCTTATTACTTTTTTGGAAGGGAATAGAACCAAATGTGACATAACAGAACAGAGTCAATCAAATCAAAAGGGTGGACATAATAGATAATGTAAAAATATAACACAAGGTGATCAACAATGGTTACCATAATGCCTCCCGCTATCTCAAATAGAATTGCCTATATCATTAGGTATAATAAAATTGAACAAAACAGTAAAGAACAAAACTGACAAAACCAAAACATTGGAGACATTATAGGTCTTCAAAAGTAGATAATAGTCAACCAGAATGGGCGTCATAATGAATCCCACTATCTTCACAGCTGTTGCCTAAACTTTCAAACCTGGTACTCTCAAGCAAAACAGAATAGGGGGACATCAGTCAAAAACAAGATGGTAGAGTAATACAGGGCTTCAAATCAAGATAATGGAAAGTCAAAGTGGGTTACTATAATATATCCTGCTATTTTTAATTTATTTTTCCCTTAATTAAAAGGACAAAAATAAAAAAGTAAATAATGGAGTGGAGATTGAGATAAAAGAGGACATAACAGCAAAACAGAGCAGATCAAAACATAACCATTTAAGCAGAATAGTGTTTCACCACAAGATAATCCTGACATAAAAGTAGTTACCATATTGTCTCTTTCCTTGAAATCTTTGAGTATAACTTCGTATACTGTAGGCATTAAATATATCAAAACAATGTAAAACCATTTAAGAGAATGATAGTATTGCAGGGTATTTAGAATCAACTAACAGAAAATGAACAATGGTTTCTGCATAATCTCCTTGTCTATAAAAGTTTTTGCTTATACTATCATACATAATAAAATCCAATAAGATACAACCTGTTTAGACCAATGGAGACAGAAGAACAAAAGCTTGATGAGACTTCAAAACAAGATGATACTAAATCAGTATTACCTATTAAGACGTAATTTTCTCCAAAATAGCTGTTCCTATCATCCAATCTTCTCTGCCTCATTTCTGTTGAGCTCTTTTTCTGTCATTAGTTGTCAGTTTGTCTTCTTCATTTTGTTTTCTGCTCCATTCATTGTGGCCTCTCGGCCACTATTTCTGAATTCTTCGTATTTTACTTTTTTAGAATATCCTGCAGTATTCTCTGTAGAGTTGAATTGGTAGTTGCATATTCCCCTAGTTCCTCTTTATCCTGAAAGCACCTTGTTTTTCCATCAATTTCCAGGGATAGTTGTGCAGGATATCTCAATCTTGGCTGGAGATTATTATCTTTCAATGCTTGAATTATTTCCCCCCACGCTCTTCGTGATTTGATGGTTTGTGCCGAGAAATCTGCTGTAACTCTGATGGGTGTTCCCTTGTAAGTGATTTGTTTCTTGTCTCTGACAGCTTTTAATATTCTGTTCTTATATTGGATTTCTGGAATTTTGATTATTATATGCCTGGGTGTAGCCCTGTTTGGGTTGTAGGTGGCTGGGGTCCTGTATGCTTCATACAACTGAGTATCTTTACCTTTTGCTAAATTAGGAAAATTCTCCTGGATTATTTCTGTGAGTAGCTTTTGTAGCTCATTTGTTTGTGTCCCTACTTCTTCTTTTATGTTCTTAATTCTTAAGTTATGGATCCTCTTATCATCCTCTTGTCTTTGTATTATTGCTGTTTGTTTCTTTGTTATTTTTAAGAAGTTTTTCATTTCATTCTCCCATATTTCAAATATGCCCTCCAGTTCAGATAGTCTGTCCTTAGTTTCTTTCAAGCTGTTATGCCAGTTTTCGATAGAGTTTTTAGTTTCCTGGTAGTCCCTTTGAACCTGCTTCACGTATTCTATGCTTTCTCTATTTTTTCCATCAAACAATTCTCCCCTCTTTTTCTGTTCTTCCATTCCACCATCTGTTTTTTCTTGGGTGGTACTTAGCATTTCTCTGACTATTCTGCTTATTTCTAGCTTCAGGTCATCAATAACTTCATTCCTGAACTCATCTATGAGGCTCTGGAGATGACGCTTTATGTCTATTGGTGCGGTGTTTGCTATTGCCTGTTTCTCAGGATTGGGGCCCGAGGGGCCTTTCTTGTTGCTCCCTCTTCCCATATTCTTTGTTCCTTATATATGCAAGCATATACAGGAGGCCCAGCTTTCTTCCCTGTCAGCCACAGTCTGATTGAATTGCGCCGGCTAGGTGTTCCCGCCCACTGCAGCACACCAGGAAGTTGCAGACCAAGCAGCCTATGCCGGGCCCGCCCCTCCAGGTCACCCTCAGGCGCTGGGATCTGGGCTGTGCTAGCCTACTGGGTCTCAGCCAGCAGTGTCACGTAGGCTAGGCATTTCTCACCAATCCCGCTTGAGAGGGGGATACGTGGCTGAAGTCACTGCAGCGCCCTGTTTCCGCAAGTCTGCCCAGTCCCAGAATGTCCTCCGCTGGAGTCTCCTAAACTGTGGAAGAGTCTCAGTTTCTCTCACTCACCTCACTGTAAGTCGATGCATAGCTCCCCGCCCGTCCTGCTTTCAACTCCGTTTACCGATTCCCGTTCTCAGAGCTTCCACGCATCTCTCTCCCTGCCAAGCCGATATAGACGCAGCAGCGGCAGCAGGAAACCCAAATCGCGGCTTCCAATGCCGCGGGCTCCAGCTTCCACACTGAGGCTTTTCTGTTCCTGTTATAGCACCAGGATTGCATTCCAAGTTGGTTTCTCTCAGCCCAGTTCGTTCTTGGGTCATCAGGGCATATCTCCACTTGCTTATGATTCCTTACTCCGCACCATTCCCTGAATTCTAAGCTGGGTCTTTCAGAGAGCCTCCATAGCTGCTGCTATCTGTCCGCCATGTTCTCCCGGAAGCCTTAATGAATATTTAGATGTTCTTATTCTTCAGTAATATAATATTATATCCTTTTGATTTGTTTTGAGACAAGGCCTCCCTGAGTCACTGAGTTGCCCAGGCGGCCTGAGCTTGCAATCCTTGTGACTCAGCCTCCCAACTCCGCCGTTCGTCAGTTACCACTGTTAGTAACCTCTGCTTCATGGGTTCTCAGTGTTTGTATGGCTTACTCCAGTTCAACCCTCCATCTCTGAGATCTTCACACATCTGTCCTTGCTTCCTAGTGTGAAAGTCTGCACGGCTCTCAACACCACGGGCTAGTATTGTGACTACTCAATGGTCTGCCCCCTTGACCCCAAACCTGTGACCTTTCGCCCTTTTCTGTAGCTGAAAGCCTTTCAGGGGGACATAGCTTCCCTAATCAGCCTACTCAGACACAGCCTCCATGTTCTGTGAATGAAGCAGCATGATCTGCTCCTGCAGTGCTCTTAGGTGGTGTCTCTGTCCACAGCCCCTCCTCCCTCAAGATCTGCTCTCTAACTTGTTTGGGTAATTTCAAGACAACCAAAGATATAGGAATTTTATCTCATTAATCTATCCTTTCCTTTCCTTTTTTTTTTTTGGTCTTTTTGACACAGAGTCTCACTATGCAGTTCAGACTGGCCTTGAGCTTACTTTGTAGGCCAGGCTGGTCTCGAACTCACAATGATCCTCCTGCCTCAGCTTCCTGAGTGCTGTAATTACAAGTGTGCACCACCAAGCCTGGCCTATAGCCAGTTCTTGATTCCAGTCTAGTAATTCTCATAGGTACCATTTGTTTTTCCCAGAAGAATATTCTAATTTATGGAAGGAGACTACCAGAGTTTGAATATAGTCCGTCCCCTAAAAGTTCATGTGTTATGAGCTTGGTCCTGGGAGTGCTGGTACCTTTCAAGGGTGGGTCACAGGAAGCAGTTAGGTCACAGGTGGCGTGGCTTGGGGAAGGGTTAATGAGACTCTCAAGGGGCCCAGGAAGTTTCTGCAGGAGTGGGTTGTCCTGAACAGGGCAGGACGAGCCTGCTTTAGCCTCCAGCTTCTTCAGCTTGCCCTGTGGTCCCTAACTCTCACGTGTGCTCCCTCCAGGAAGCCATGAGTCATTTCCACAGGCTGCAAGGGACCTTCAGAAGCTGAACCTCCAAAATGGAGTTACGTAAACCCCTTTAGTTTACAGATACAAAGATATTTTGTTATCACAATAGAAAATGGACCAGTATAGGACCTAAAGGTACTCTAAAGAGATTAACGGGAGATGGGCCAACACGAAGACTTTCAGAAGGATTTTCTTTAGTCTGCTTTTCTACAGCATTACGAAAATCTTCAAATGCATGACAGGCACAGGGAACAAAAGCATAAACCTCCATTTCAACAAAGAACATGGCATACACCTCCACTATCCAATAATCTGCTTCAGGAATCATTACACAGTCAGTTGGCTGCATCTAAAGCTGTCCCTACTTCCCACAGCCATCAGGGGACTCTTGTATACAGTGGATGCCATTGCAAGAGGACTCTGGTTAGCAAGGAATGTGATCCTACACTTGGTAACTCGGTCCCTTTCAATGCCTCTAGCACAGCAAGTGCCCTCTAGGCTGCCTGAAAGGACCAGAGTACACAACACAACATTTCCAGGTATGTAAATTTAATGAAAACTGTTTTTCCCACGTTTATTAGTGCCAAGTTACATAGCTAAGTCCAATGATTATTCCTTAACTTCAGGTTGCTTTTGGCAGACTTTTCTCTCAAGTAAGTGTCTTAAGAAGCAAAGGCAGCATGGCTTAACATCCATAAACTATTCCCAGACTTTCAAGACGGCTGTAAACAGTAGGACATGTGGATCTAGAATCCTACACTTATTCACATCCCAAAACTGAAATGGCAGACCTTTGATGAGATGTCAGAACAACCCTATTATGACAAGCTATGGAGGAAGCAACGGCCTAAAACCCTTCCAGTTGTTTGTGGCAGAAAACTCTTCATGTTTCCCTCAGTGCAGTTTGGATGAGGGATTTACCAAATCTGAATGCAAAAATCAGTTATTCACTACACATACCAGTTAGGTAAAGGACGTGGTTATTAAACGAACAGCTCCTTCCCTATAAATGTGCATGAAAAGCTTGGGACCACTTACAGCTCTGACTCGAAGCAGATGGGAGATAACTGACTGCAGTTCGTCACTGTAGTGCTTCAGTTCAGTAAACCTCCTGAAACAGGAAGCAAACACATTTTCCTCATGAAAACCAACAGTCAAAGATAAAGTACAAAACAGCATTCCAGAGGCTGAAGCTGATTCTATTTACTATTTGCTGGCCTTGAACATTTACACACCAATATAAATACAAAACATTCTAAAATTAAAAAATAATGTTTTGAAAGCCAAGAAAAGATGTGATATTTAATAATTTTACATTGTGGGGGATAGAAATAAAATTTATCAGTATGAAAAATTACTTTGCAAAAAATCAGGAGAAAATTTATGATGCTAAAAAAAAATCTTCTAGTGCAATAATAAATCATGGTACTCAACACCAGTCTTAATGCTTCCTTTAACCTGTCTTCATAACCTAACAACTGCCACTCTCCACAAAGAACTGAACTTCAGACGACACAGGGCCCTCCTAACCCAAGCCTCCCCAGTAAACCAGAAGCCATCTGATGGGAATGACCCCCCATGCTACTTCCAATCAATATAAAAACTTTCCTGAATATACATTACTTCTTCCTTTCATCTAAGCTGTCTTCCTGTCACTCCAGTGACAGCCCACATTCTTGCTCCCCATCTTTCCCAGCTCCTGATGAACGTAACACTTAACTCAGTTTTCCCTGGATTACAGCACACGGGAACTGCCTTGACTATATAGCCAAGTATGACCTCCCAACGACCTGTCACAATCTGTCCTCACTATTACAGTGGAGAAAGATTCCTGATAAAGCTGCCAACTCTTCTCATGTTGCTGAAGTGCATGACAGATTTTAGTACTTTCTTATTCAATCCTGTTGGCAATACAGCAGCTTTCTAAAAAATTTGCTGCCTTGACGAAGTGTAACTTTTCTTGTGATTTTCTTTCTGTATTCTGGTCACTCCTAAAGTTTCTCTTGTAATACTCACTTCTTTTGCCTGTCTCTACCATCTCCAGTTCTAGTGTGGAATGAAGTTCTGAAATGTCTGTTAAAAATATGACTGAGAAACTTCAGTAGAAAAAGGTTGTGAATAACCACCACCACTGGACAAAGGCCCTGCGGACGCCCAGGTTTGAATTTAAAACAAGCTCACACAATTCAGGTTACACTTTGGATGCTGACATTCTTCAGAGAAGAGTCCTAGGTTCTCAGCTACCTTCCAATCAACTTGTCACTTAGCATATTCCTTTTTTTTTGAGACAGGGTCTCCCCGCGTAGTCCAGGCCAGCCTCAAATTCATGACAATCCCCCTGCCTTAGCTTCCTGAGTGCTGGAATTACAGGCATGTGCCACCACACCAAGCAGCATATTCTTTATATGATTTTTCATCAATAAAATTTCATAGTTATGATTAACATGATACATAATTACAGATTTCTACTTCCAGCTCAAACCTCTGTTCTAAATTCAGATCTATAAAACCACTTGACTTGGGGACATTTATACTTGCTTACATACCCAAAGATCAACCTGTCTCTTCCTATGTCCCCAAACCTGTCTCCACTGCTCCCTAGACCTCTAAAGAGCAAAACCAAACTGTCACCTGTATTTCCTTCCTGTGTTCCACTGCAGCTATTCTAGTGAACCCCCAGTCTGCCGCTTTACCTCCTCAGTACTGCCTAAGCCCACTGGCACTGCCAACGCCTCTGATACAGATAAGCAACACTGCCTTTCACCTGGAACTGTCCGACTGTCTTCGGGCCACTCCCGCCCTGCTCTAATCTACAGTCTACTTGGCTTAGACGACCCTCCTAAACATCCAGGCCTACATAACTGGGCATTTAAGCAAGTTTCTCTCTGTCACTGATCCTAAGACAAAGTTCAACACCTTCATGTGGCTTAGACAACTCTCTGCAGACCTCGACCAAGTAGCAACTGTGGTTCATCTAAGGGGCAGACAGCAAAGCTGAGGGTATCAATCCTATTGTTAGCTGAAACATTTAACCTCCACCAGCTAAAAAAATACTCCAAGAATAAGAGCACTGGCAAATGTGGCTGTCATTAAGTGAAGCGCAAATCCATGTCTGACATCTCTTTTTCACACTCTAAGATGAAAGGTAGAAAGTGTCCTCTTTAATTTTGTTTGTATCTGTAGAAAAAAAACCTGCAGGGATATAAATATAAATACGCGTGAGGTGTAACCTCTGGGGAGGAGGTGGGAATAGACAGAGACTGGGGTAAAATTTTTCCTTCTCTGAATGTCTCATACCTGCCAATCTACATATGTATCTCATTAACCATGAAAACGCGTTACACAAAGTTTTTAAAGACATTCAGACACAACTCAATTTTAAAAAGTATATCTGACATAACTGTGAGCTGCTTTCTTTATGTGGAACCAGAAATTCTGCAAGATTAGGTTTCCTTGACCTTGTCTAGACCTAACTGGATCCCTTTTCTTTCCAACTCCCCAAATCATAGGATTATAAAATTCTAAGTTGTCACTTTGGGCTATGAAAAAACTTATAACAATATCAACAGTCAGGATTCAGAACACTATGATGAGACTGGAGTTGAAAGGACAGGTCCTACGCCTTTGGTCAAGGATGCACACAGCACACCAGTTTCTCCATCTGCTAACAGAATGCACACCCTCTTCCGCACAGCTGGCCGGGGAGGACAACAACCAGCCACAGGAAGTCAGGCTGAAAGGTCCGCAATACCAGGGCGCCAGTGACAGGGGTGAGGAACACGCACCTTTGGAAAAATCAGGTTTGGGGAAATCAGAAGACCTAAAGTGAACACTGTAAAGTCCACCAAGCCTTAGATAATAATGAGGATCTAATAAATGAAGGAAAAAATTCTCCAGAAATGGAAGTCTAAGTTCTTTGTCCCAGTCAAAATCTAGCAGTGTCTCTCATCCTCTGTGATTAGGTACTCTTACAGAGATTAAAGACTACAAAGCACATATAGTAATGGCAGAAAAGTGTAACTGAATCGAAAAATAGGTAGTTAACAATGAATCCGATTGAGAGTGACACGAAACTTCCTTCTCAAAGTACTGCCCAAAATCCCTGCTGTGAAGCACGTAAAGACAACATGGAAATACAGATTCTAACAAGACTCAGTTTAAGCCTAATGCGTCCCATAACCTCAAGCAACCTTAAGTTTTATTCTCCTCAAAACAGTCCCGTTACCATAAGCTCTAAGCTTCTTTCTCGTCTCCACATTCCACTTTTATCTGCTTATGGCCATCTCCCCTTCTAAGCCTGGGTAAGTGCTCCTAACCAAATCACATCCATTACTCAGGACCCCCTTGGAAACAATCTCTCTCAAGGTTTTTTCTGAACGTGTGGCTTCCTTCTCTAAGCTCAAAGGCACAAGCACAGGTGGGCGTCTGCTGCCTTTTTTTTTTTGAATTAGGACTGGAACTTGGGACCTTGCACTTGCCAGGCAGGTGCTGTGCTGCTGAGGTTCACTCCCAGCCTGCTGCCTATTTCCCAGCACTCTCCTGTCTGCAGGGTTCTTAGACCTGGTGTGCCCTCCAAGAAGACTCACTGTGTATACCTTTCTCTCTGCCTATACTTCTTGCTTCCAAATTCAGTACAGGAAATTGCTCTAATTTGATAGGAAACTCAAGAAATAGCCAGAACAAGTTACAACCTTAATTATCTGACTACATGGTTCAAGAAAACTATGACTATACACAAGATTTAACTGATCATTTGGATTTTGTAAAGTCAAGAAAAACTAGTAACTAATGCCATAGTAAACAAAACCTCTAGTAGGCAAAATACCATAGGAAGTGAGAGGTTACTACTATCTATTTCTACAACAGATTTTAAAATAACTACATAAACACACGCTACTTATACAATTTTGAGTTAATGGCTTTAGTTTTTTCTTAAAACATTTAAGCCCTGACATAAATAAGCCCTGGACACATTCTTTTACAAAAAATAAACATTCAATGCAAGAAGCATTTACAAAGCTTCACCTAAGAGCACACACAAGTCGAAGATTCCAGATCCTCCTCCCTGCAGTCAGCAGTCAAAGTGAGGAAAGAAAACATGTCACCAAGCAAGCCTCAAAAGAATTGTTTCGGTAGTTTCTCTGAAACCATTGCTTTGGTTTTCTGGGTTTTAGGAAAGGATAGAATAGTCTTATGGTATAAACTATTTTAATAACAGTATGAATTAAAATCTATTGGGCCAGATATATCTAGAACAGAGACTGAACATCTTACTCTGTCATAATGACAGGGACAGCTGGGCATGGTGGTGCATACCTGTAATCTCAGAACTCTGTGAGGCTGAAACAGAAGCATTACAAGTTTGAGCCCAGAGAGGGCAACTTAGTAACTTAGTGAAACCTGTTTCAAAACTGAAAATGTTGGGAGGGCTGGGCAGGTAGCTCAATGTGAAGGCTCTGGTGGTTTCATCCACTAGGTTGGGGGTGATTATTGTAGACAATTCTCTTATCCACAACATAAGGTGGAAACATTTTATTATTATATATTTGACACTTTTACAAGACTGCAGGGCAAAACCACCTGGATAACATAGGTCACATAATGTTTAAAATTTTACATATAATATGGATAGTAAATAGAATTTATCAATTCAGATAATCTTCTAAGATCAGAAAGGGCAAAAACATTCAATTGACAAAAATTTTTATTAAATTTAAAAATAGTCAATAAAAGTGCTAATAAAAGATTAATATTAAATCCTCAGTAAAAACATCAGTACTCACATGATTCTCTAATGAATGTGTATTCACCAAAGTCTTAAATTTTCCAAAGTTCTTTTTGAAGGTGACTCATAATTTTAGCTCCTAATCTGGAGACAACCTCTTAGTACCATACAAGTCATTATAACACTTAGGAAAACCTCAGTGGACCCTTAAATGCTCCGCTGGGTGAAGAAAGCAGGCGTGAAGACTGCCAGCTACGTGACATGACGTACAAGGAGGGTAAATCCACGGAGTCTGTGGAACTCAAGTGGCCGCCTGGGCTGGGGCGCACAGAAAGAACGGGGCACTTTTAGGACAGAGAAACCCCTGTGTGATACCGTAACAGTGGGCACACACCATCCAAATGTCCAAGGATAAAACTGGATCTAGCGGAAACGAGGGGCAGTGAGTAATAATGCGGTGTCCAGGCAGGTTTGCTGACAGGAGCACACACCTCCGGGTGAGATGCGACACCAAGGAAGGCTGTGGGGCGGCTGAGGTATAGCACGCTTCCTGCTGTTTTACTGTGAGCCTCACACCTGCTCTAACATGAGTCTATTCAAAAAGGAGGTGGGGGAAAACCACCACAAAAAGAAAAAGCAGCTCTCAAAACTTCAATGCAACCACGGCAACTTCCTAATTAGCCACACTTACATGTTCCTTTATATTTTATATTTAAAATCAGAGGCATTATATGGTTAATATGCTACTGTTTATAAAGCCAAGTATAACAGGTGCAAGCAAACAGCTTCTGTTTGATAAGAATTGAATTTACACGCTAGAGAAATTGTTGAAAGACCCACTAGAAAAATTCTGGGCCGGGCATGGTGGCACAGGCCGGTAATCCCAGCACTCAGGAGGCCGAGGAGGGAGGATGGCAGTGAGTTCACGGCCAGCCTGGGCTACACAAGCAAGTTCAAGGCCAGCCTGAATTATACAGAGAGACCCTGTTTAAAAAAAAAAAAAAATCTAACATGCATAAACTTAGTCCCTGAAAACAGAAAAGCCTCATCTGTGTAAGCAATTTCTAAATGAGAAACCCCCAGAGGTCAACCTAACTGCCAGGCAACGGGCCACATAATGAAGAGCCTGAACCATCCTCCGAATTTAGAGAATGAATAAAATCCAACCTGGAGTATCAAGGACTGCTCCTAAGGAGTCATTTCTGAGTCCACTGGCTCCCTTTCACCCACACGGGCATCACTGAAGTCAGTGTCTGTCATGCACCTCCCCGGAATTAATATGCTAATATATACTTTTCTAGCAAGTTTGCTTGATACACAAAGTAGGTTTAAATTATATAATATTCTTAAGCTCTGAATATTTGACAAGTCGTACAAAGAAAACTATATGAAAGTAAAAATTTTTCATTTTTCTTACACTTTCATAATGAATCCTTCAACAATGGTTTAATTTTCTAAAACTTCATTTATAATGTTAAACCCAAATAAGTTACCAAATTTCAAAATCAGTTTTAGACTTTAAAAGGATTTCACTAAATGTGAATTACTACTTAAAATATTTAGCAAATAAAGTGCACACATTCAGAAATGAAAAATTAAAATAGATTGCTAGGCACCATTCAAAACAACATTGTAACTGTTATTAAAACAAAACCTTACTTGTCTGGGTTTTTCACTCTGAATGTTGCATTAAGCGCTTTTAACCTGGAGTCTGCCTGGAAAAAATAATTTGTTCACTTAATACAATTACATTTCAGGACATAAAAGTCAAACAGTTTCACTTTCCCTTTAGAATCAAGATGCTCAAGTACAGTTTTTTTTATATCAATTGTTGCAAACACATTAAACATATCTGAAAAGTCAGCTTAGTATTTCTGAGAACACTTCACAAGCATGTTATAAATTAGACTGCACACAAAGTATTCAATGATTTCAAATAAAACAACTGTGAACACCAGCACAGTAAGCAGGCACTTGGCTCTGAATTCTTTTATATTCAGAACAAGTCATATGGAAAAGTGTTCACCTTTCTTTAAGCCAAGAAAAGCAATAACCTGCACATATAATCAAAACTACTGCTTTAGATCCTACGCATCATCAGAATCCAAACTAAATATACCTTGTTTTTTCTCATTATCATAATCAATGCTCTGGAAAAAAATGCAGAAATGCTTATATTAAAATACTATGCTACATAAAACAGGATAGATGACATCAGATTACTTTCTAGATAGCAGAAAATGATGTAAGACAATATGTGTTTTAAACATGCTATTCCTAGATAACTGCTCTCCAAGGAGAAACGGCTGAGCATGGTGGTACCGGCACACAATCCCAGCACTTGGGAGGCTGAGGCAGCAGGGTCATTGCAAGTCTAAGGCCAGGCTAATGAACTACACAGTGAATTCCCCCACCAGGAAAAAAAAAGTCAAAGGAGAAACAGAGGGATAGACAGTAAATAATAATTTCACTGCGCTAGGTGCACACTTAACATTTAAATCCTATCCTTAGCTCCCCCAAACCAAAAGAAAAGACCACCAGATAACTTTTCTGTACAAAGTACAGGAACTACAGCACTCCTCAAAACAGGTAGCTCAATCAGACAGCAATTTCAAAATGTAGTTTGATTTTCAAACATCCCTCCCAGCCTAAAAATCTTGAGTACTTCCACTTCATAATTACAAATACTCTGAATTAGCAAAAAGCAAAATGATCCATGCAAAAATATTATCAGGGCTTCCTTGATCTCTTGGAGTAGAAAACAACCAATGTGACAAACACTGCTCTCCAGACGCAGCCTCCTGGGCCTCAGACCTAGAGAAACTCAAAGAGCTACCTGCACAACACGGAAGCAGTTTAAGGTCTCTGATTCCAAGGGCTTCTCGTACTCTACAGCTGGCACTGCCTCAGTTCTTGACCTTTCTTACATGGCAAGGACATATGAAAGTTTTTCAAATAAAAAGGCCCATGAATTTAAGGCATATACAATATTAAACATCACTGAATACCAAGAAATCTCACAAATGCCCAAATGAGTCTTTAAACATGAATGAAATTACATAAAAGCCAAGCAGATTTTCATTCGTATTTTTTCTCAAACCTCACACTTTTTAATAGTACCAACTTCTTTCTTCTCACATCACTGGTTCATCAGTTTAGAAACCAGATCAACGTGAGGGGTAAGAGTCTGAACCGCTGTTCACTAAACATACCTCTCAGATGAGGTCCTACACACTCAACTCCATCTTTTCATCACTTCACAAGATTCTGTAAAAATGCAGGCTGCCTAAACTGTCACCCAGCAGGAACCGCCCTTCATGCTGACTCTGAGAAGCCAGCCAGGCTATTCTAAAACGTGCCAGGTTACCAACCACCTGATCGCCTTCTCCACTACACACCTCACGATCCCCCTAGCCCATCACTGTTTCATACCACCCTATTTTATTCCCTAAAGCAAGATTAAGTGAAATCATCTTGTCCACTGGTTTCTTGGTTCCTCACTACAGCACTAAAGGCTGTAAAAAGGCACACACGTGGCAGCCGCTGCAGTTGCACAGGCTGCTACGGCAGTATCTTCATTGGCTCGATCTCCCCCAGAGCTTGTTTAAAGACCAGGTCCTAGCCCTGGCCTCCTTCTTAGCCCTCAGGCTGCACAGCAGGAGTCTTACCCTGGTATGAGCTCACATGCTAATTCTCCTGCCTGGCAGAATGGTCCTGGCCTGTGCTTCTGACCTAGTGCGGTCACCAGTGCCCCCTCATACTCTGCAAACAATTGGACAAATAATCCTACTGTCCTATTAGCTGCTTCAATTCCTTTATGCTACTTACCACTGTTTTTTTTTAACTTATCACTATTTTGAAGTATTTTATTTAAATCTTAATGTACCTAGCCACTAACTTGTAAGTTTCAGAAGAACACGGACTTGAAGGTTGCCAGCTTATTCACTGTCTCCACAGCACTCAGCGCCTCTCACGGTGGTGCCCAGCATTTGGGAACTCCTGGCAACCCAGAGTCCAGCATGGCTGCTGAGGACCCCCCAGACCTTTGCTTGGCTGCCCTGGAGCCTTCTGAACAGCTTCTATTTGCTTAAGGTCTGGGCACATGGAATCACCCTTAGTCTCCTGACTGAGGTCACTGTTAAAATAACGCCACTGAACTTTGTACTAAACTAGTTTATGCGTCCACTGCTCTAAGGATAAATTCTTTGCTTTCCTTTCAATGAATTAAGTAACATGAGTGTGTATACATATATGGATGTATGTATGAATGTATGTATATGTAAGTGCCAATAATCAGCAATGATACAAAGATGGGTTGCTTAAGCTTAGGTTAAAAAAGAGCAGTGATCATAAAAAAAACCCTAAATTTTATAATTACCTTGCTGAATATAACAAGAAATCTAAAAGGATTTAAGAAAATATTGATCTCGGGGCTCAAGGCTACCGTAGCACTGGCTTTGAACTCTAACACCACAAAAAGCGGACAAACACGTAAATATATCTAGTAGGCAAAACAACACCACAATACATTAAGTTAAAAGTGCCTGGAAAAAAGGAAAACTGGAGCAAACTGATCAATCTGCAGATAAGAATCCCAGAGCTAAGCTTAAATATTCTTATACAAATGATTGGTGTGATTCAGAGTGATCTCATTTTCACAAAAACATAGCTTTCAACCCTTCCTTCACTAGCTCTCCATAAGGAATAAGCAAAGAGAGACAGTAACTGGGATCTAACTAAGAAGGGTTTAAGTCAAACAGGACACGACTTGATTTAGATTCCACAACTTGTAATGATGTGACCCTCAGTAAGTTACTTTTTACAGTTCTTTAACTAGAAAAATGGAAACATAAACTACCCTCAAAAGGATTAAGACAATAGTAAGCACAATAGAATTCAGTGAATACAGTACAGGGCCTAGCACACAAGAGCATATATGCATGGCGATTATCTTTAGATTCTAAACAAGTTTTTCTTTCTTTATACCATTTTGGGCAGTCTTCCTCAATTACTAGCTGGGGCACAGCTGAGTGGTGGATCATGTGGTTTGCATGTGCAAGGCAGACCTCTCCATTACCTTAGGGTTAGTTTTAGGAAACACAGGAATTAGCGTGTCTGGATGAAGCCTAGGATTCAGTGCTCTGAACAAACCCTCCTGACACCTGAGATGCAGCAGTTCACGGACAGCAGAATGCATGTAGAGTATACATCAAGTATAATTTCATTTTCCCCTGAGGCTTCCAGGGGACCCTACAGACCACTAACCCCGAACCGGAGGGGGATGCAGTGGGGGGATGTGTGCGCCCCACACAAAGGATATGGCCCAGGCCCAAAGTCCCCGGCACTGAGGCCCGGGGGTCTGGCTTCACCGCCTGCTGCCTCCTGCTTGCCGCAGGTGTCTTTGTCACTGCTGCCGTGTGTACCTGCCTCCGCTGCAACTCACCTGTCGGTCTTTTTAATGGTCTGCTAAGATATATTATAACCAAGTTTATCTGAATCCTGTCTGAGAGGACTGAAGTGTTTCTCAGAGTACAGAAGTCATGTTACCTCCTCTGAGCAGCTCAGAAGTCGGCCTGGTTAACTCTCAGCTTTCAATTATGAGCAATTTAGTTGGAATCACCAAATACATGACCTTGGGACAAATGACACATATATGCACATATATAAGGTGATATTTATATGTATGTAAGGTGGTCTAGAAGGCCCCATTTCCCTGATGGAAGAAAGGACTTAAGAAACACCCATAACAAATTAAGTAATACAGCAAGATCTACAGGTTTCCGAATTCTTTCCATAGATTCTATATCTGGTCCACTTCAGTAAATCTGACTTTTTGGATTATTAATAGTCTACATTAGGTGTTACCTTTCAAATACTTCATAAAAATGAAACCCAGCTTTTCAACTATAAGGTTACTCAAATAAGAAACACTGCATCTGTACACTGAAATAGTGCCTGCACATGAAATTCAAAGCATTCTTTAAGCAGTATCCCATATTCTTCAATAATAGAAACTCACACGTTAAAAGTCACAAAAGCTATTGCCAAAAACAGGGTTCAAGGACAAAGTATAGACAGTTGACTAATGACCATATTGATGATTAAATTAAAAAACTTTTGTATTCTACAGACAGTTCACCAAGAGTTATATTTTATTCTTTCTCATAACATTAGCTTCTAACATATCTTGAAAGTATGATAAAAGACTCAACTACTAACGTGGACAAAGCCAAGCTTGTCTTCAGGGTCATTCATTTCTGCCAGAGTGAGCAAGTACAAGCAGAAATCGTCAGGACAGAAAAGAACAGACGTCAAAGCGTGCATTCAGTGCGGGGGGGGAGGGGCCTACACCCTGCATTTTTTTTTTTTTAAGAGCAGAATATATTAATTGAGAGAGAACGCTTCTGTCTGGGAGAGAGGCAGAAGGGGTCCCAAGTAGGCTGCCAAAGACAGTCTTTTCCAGGGACTGTTATAGAGCAAAATGACAAGGTGAGGTAGGTCCCTGACGGGGAAAATCGGGAACTCAGGCATGAGGTGGGTCAAACTACGATCAAGCAGTAAGTTTACAAGTCTCATTGCTCAGGTAAAATTAATTAAGTTGAGATCAAATGGGGAGGCAAGCCACATGGCAGGCAGGCATGAATTTAGATTGGGGTCTTTGCTGGTAAAGGGTTGGATTAGTGGCTCCTTCTGGCGTTCTCAAGGAGATCCATACCTATTTAGAATACCAGTCCCTGATGTTTACATTCAGAGTGTGGGTGCATTTGTTTTGCCTTTTGTCTTGAGATGTGACCCACAGCAGAGGTGTCTGTCTCCTCTAAAGCTGCAAGATATCTGGTCTTCTGCACTGGCTCCTTTGAATTTAATGAATTAATTTAAATTAATGCTTCAAAATGCTCTTTCCTAGTAGAATTCAATGAATAAATTTGCTCACTGCATTCCAACTGTACTTATACAAGTCAAAAATAAATTGCAGTGTTTCCTAGAAAACCTTACTAATGATTTTATGTGAAAAGCTGATTTTCAACATTCACTGATTCAAAAAAATACCACGGAGCCAAATGTGTACGGCACTGTGTATTTAAAATTACTTCACACAAGTATTCTTACCTTAAGCTGAAACCCAGTTTCATTCACAGTCTCCTTCCAGTTGCCTTCCTAAAAATTAATTTTAAAAATCTTTACTGCAAAGCAAAACAACCCACCAGAAACATTCTAAGTTATAAAAACTGAATTCCTACCAATCCATGTGTTCTAATTTCAAGGGAGATAAGAGACGTTACAAAAATTCTTTTCACTTCAGATTTAAATGTACAATCGAGATTTCAAATGATTAACAAAACATAGGCTTATAATTTTAGAAATTTGGGCTTTAAAAAATTGAAAACTGATTTTGATATCGTTAAAGTGTTACTAAAAATATGGTCTCTATCATCTTTAAATATAAAAAGTGTTAGTCAAATGCCAGGTGTGGAGGCATACACCTATAATCCCAGCACTCTGGGAGGCTGGGGCTTGAGAATCCCAAATTCAAACCTAGCCTGGGTAACTTAGTGAGACCCTGCCTCAAAACAAAAAACAAAAAACAGATTGGGATACAGATTAAAAGGCAGGCCCTGGACTAAGCCCAGTAACTAACTTGCACTGACCACACATAAACACAAAGTTAGCCAAAAGACTAAGTAAACCAGTAATTTGAAAATCAAATTCAAACCAAACCAAATACAAGAAACTGCATATAAAAAGCAGCTCCAAAGAGACCTTCTTAAATAAGCACTCTACAATTAAAAGGAGAAATAAGAAAATCCAAGTCAAACGAGTATTTTAAAATGACTAGAAGAAAAATACCTGGGTTAAAAACAAATAGAAGATTTTGTCTCTACAAAGGACGGGATGTGAAGCAACTCTCAAGAGAAAGTTCTCTAAACCGATCCGTCGTCTTTCTACAAAATCAGGGTCCATGTTGTCAGCAGAGAGTTTATGCCAAACAAATTCTGCCTAGGTAAACAGAACACACATTAGGGCGTCTCGACGCTGAATCCTCCCTCGGCACCCTACCATTTCACCCTTTACCCGTTTCTCTGGTAACGGCGGCACAACAATATGTGGATAGCAAACCAAAAGGTAGTTTCTCAACAGCTCAAACTCGCTGTACCGCCTCCACAGCGAGTCTGTGAGGACGCTCTGACTGTCCGCGCGTTCAGCCGACCTGAAAAGGAAGCGAGAACAGTGGCGGCGTTGGCTTTAGATGTCTGTCTCCGCTTACTGAATGTGTGTGAGGCAGACACGAGTAAAGCCCCCTCTAGTGTTTTCCTCCTGGTGCCTCACAACCCTGTGGAGCAGGCAGTTGCTAGTCCCTTTCCGCAGATGAGGAAGCTGAGATCGCTCAGATCCTCCCGATTCCAAACCCTTACTCATAACTGGCGTCTTGCTTACTTTTCTCTCATTGTTGAGACAAAATACGTGTCCCAAAACGAAGCAAGGAAAGGTTTATTTAGCTTACAATGTTTGAAGCTTTCAGTCCATACGCGGCTGGCTCTAAGTCAGGGTAGTATCACTGAGAGGCAGCCGTTCAGGGGGGTCACGAGCAGCAAGAGCAAAAGGGCAAACAAGAGGGGGGCGGACACCCCTTCTTCCTTCCCTTACACTGTCTGCTGGCTCCACCTGGACAGGTGCAGCACTCACCCCGCCAATCCCAGCGCTGCCCGATGAACAGTCACCAACGCTAGATTCGGCCACCTGCATAACTACACTAGGCCGGGCAGGCCGCCCAAACACAAACCCTAACAGCCGGTTCCTCTGGTGAGGATCCGATGAACACACAATGGCATGGATTTACGGGACGGTGAAATCTGGCTTAGCAAGGGTTTTATTAAATAAAAGGGTATGCTCTTGCTTGGTTTGGTTTTTGTTGTCGGAAACAGGGCCTCACTGCATTGCCCAGGCTGGGCCTGAACTTCTGGACTCCAGGGATCTGCCCGCCCCGACTCTGGAGCGCTGGGGCTAAAGGTGTTCATCCTGCACCCGGCTCAGAAATGTACTGTTCACTTCACTCCTGCCACGGTGAAAGAATGGCATTCACACGAGATCAGCACACCACAAAATCTCACTTCAGGTGGTGAGGACATCAGATGAACCTGAGAACCACCTGGGAAGGCGGGGAGGCGAGGTCATGAGATGGGCTGCAGGGGCAGGCAGGAGGACACAGCACCCAGGCCAGCCCAGGAAACTCAGCGACTCAGAAGCTGCTACTTCTCAAAATAAAAAAGTAAAAAAATGGCTGGGGATATAGTTCAGCACCACAAAACAAACACATGCCTGAAAAACTAATTACAAACTACAATCAAAACATATGGGTGAATGTTTAAAAATTTTTTAAATTTATTACAATAAAACCACAGGCCACTATCCCCTTAAAATACTCCCCGTGCTTTACATTCCAGTGCTCTTGCCACTTTCTGAGCCAGTGCTGGAAGCCACTCCTGTGAGGGTTCTTATGGTGCTCTTATGGTGCTTCGATGCCCCGAGTCAATTCAAAATGTTTATCTTTCATTGTAATCTGACTTTTGGGAAGTCACGTGGGATCTCGTGAATATGGTTTGATGAGGACACACTGTACTGACTTCACACGCTTGGCTTCACACTGGACGGCACTGCGTGGCAGCATTCACTGTATCTTTAATCGTGCCGCACAGAAACACCCATGAAAGAAGCTTTTAGAACTGCTGCTGAAAGTGGCAAGGATGTGGGCTACGTGTGTTTACAGTGAGGGGAAACAGTCGGAGAGGGATTAACGTAAAGTGTCTTTCACTGTAAGAAAGTTAAAATTTTAACAGTCACCATACTTTGATCACATTGTGTATTCACATCTGCTAAGCAAGGCCAGATCTCACCCATCTAAAAGTTCAATTTATAGTGGTGAGAAAGGGTAAAATCAGACAAATGAGGTTTGAAAGTACTTTCACTACTGAAGATCTCTACTAGAACAAGCAACACTGGAAAGCGCCAATTGTTTAAACATGATCAGGGCCTTCTTATTTTCTAGATATCTGCTTGACAAGAACTTAGCTCCCTCCAAGAAATGCACACACAACTACAATGTGCACTTCTACATTACTACATAAAGACAGAAGAGCTAAATCAGACTTGATGATTAATGAAGTCAAGTGTGAGGAAGTATTTATATAACGTCATGCTAAACATAATGGCTGCTTAGCTTTGTTTGGCTTTGGCTTTTCTGAAACCAGCTCTCTACATTTCCCAGACTGGCCTCGAACTCCTAGACCCAAGTAAATGTCTCAGCGTCCAGGGGAGCTGAGCAGCGTCCAGTGCAGCATGTGCCACTGAGCCTTCGTAGACTGGTTTTAAGAACTAATTTCCTGTGAAGAGGCACACAGAAAGACTCAAGGAAAGACCAACAACTTCAGCCTTGTTCAGTCCGAGCCTGCTCCACTGCCACGCTGCCGGCCCCGCAGAAAACGCCCTCCCGCTCACTGCGCACCTGGTTTCCACGAGGTAAGCGGTGTATGTTTCCTGCATGTTCACTGCATTTCTTCCAGTTCGCTTTTCTGCTTCAGAAACACTGATTTCTATCTTCTTCAAGAAAAAATTATTTTCTGTCATCTGGACAAAAATAAATGAGACAACAACAACAAAACTCTTTAAAATGGTACTGAAAAAAAATTCAGTTACTTGCATAAAGCAAGCAAATACTGGTACATATTTCAAGACAATTTCTGGTAATTCTTGAGTTGTCAGGTGTTGCTAAGAGACAGCAGTAAATGACAACTTCTCTTTAGGAACACACCTGGCACAAGAACTTCTCCAGAGGTGTACTAACAGGTGTCACACACTTACTTTTCTAACTTAGACATTTCACGTACATCACCAACAGTAAGTAATACAGGGGAAAAGCAAACCCTGAGGACACATTATACCTAAAGGGTTCTGGGAGGCGCAGAGAGGTGGCACCAATGGCTGTTGCCCCCCACTTGTTAAACACTTCCTTTCTTCCTGGAACTTCTGTGGGACCTGAAGGGCCAGCGCCTAAGACACACACCCTTACATTCTTCTACTTACTTGTTCTTGCAAGCCAGACACAAAAACCTGGAAATTCAAAAATAACTGGCTATATGAGGACGATTAGCAAACAATCACATTACCTAGGGAAAGGCTCAGGCAAAGACCTTGGCCTTATGTTTGGCTCAGAGACCGGCCAGCAGTTAAAAAAAACTCAAATACTAACAAATCCTGGGTAGGAAAATCTGATTCCCAGAGTTACATTATTAGATTTAAACAAAAACTCAAAAGGCTTACGAATAGGAAACATGACAAAAAATAAACCTATGGGACCAGCAGTAGGGACCACAGGCATGTGCCACTGTGCCTGGCAGAAGCAGTTCCATGGCATATTGTTTACCTGGTTCACAGCGGCATTACTCACGGGGGCGGGGAGTGTGGAAGCCTAACAGATGAGTGGATTTTAAAATGCAACCGTGAGGTAAGGGATTAGGACAGTGGCAGGCTGCAGAGAAGGCGGGCTATAATGTATCAATTACAGAGAGCTGGACTGGAGGCTGAGAACAGGATGTGCCTACGTAACTGACCCAGAACAGATGTGACCCGTCAGTGACAGCCAGGATGGCCACCTCCTACAGACGGATCTAAAGGGTACAAAGGCCGCGCCCCGCCTCGCCGCCACCGCTGTGACCCTGCTATTCTGCTGTCCTGCAGGGGCTCACCCGCTTGCAGTACGTATCTGTTCTTGCTCTTCTCTTTTCCTTCACTCTTTTCTTCTCTTTCATCACATCTTCCTTTTTCTTGTTTTATATTACATAAAAGTTGTGTCTAACTGTTCCTTAAGTCATTCCAGCCAATTCTTTGGACAGGACAGAAAGACCCTAGAATCATCAGACACTGGGAACAACAGGGTTCTGGCTCTGTCGTAGAACACATGCTCAGTGTGCACAATGCCCTGGGTTCAGGCCTGGGAACACACACACACACAGTGGTATATACACAAACAAGGGACTACGACTCGGCCTTTAGAAGTTATAAAATTCTGACACAGTACAACGTGGATGAATCATGAAAGCATGTTATTTGGAATAGGTTAGTCAAGAATTTGTAAGTACTATAGAAGCCCATGCATATGAAGTACTTTAAGAATAGTCAACAGGCCAGGGATTTAGCTCAGCGGTATAAGCGCCTGCCTGGCAAGTGCAAGGTCATGAGTTTGATCCCGGGTTACCCCCACCAAAAAAAGAATAGTCAAAAATCACTGAGACAGAACACAGAGTGGTGGTTGCTGGGGTCTGGGGAGGGCACAAAGGATAACTACTGTTCAAGGGATACAGAGTTTTGATTTTGCTAGATGAAGAGTCCCAGAGGTTGGCTGCACAATGACGTGAAGTAGTGCTTACTATGACTGACACACATTTAAACATGATTAAGATGATGACATACTTTAACACAATTTTTAAAATGCAGGGAAAAACCTCTTATCATAACAAGATTAATGATCTTGATATTGTTAATTTTTATTTAACTATAATCAAATCACTCTCTAAAATATTTTAAGTAAAAGGCAGTATTTTCAGTAGGTAGGTCAACAACAAAAAAAAAAGCCAGAGGTAGCAGTACATGTCTCTAATCCCAGTACTCCGGGAGGCAGAAGCAGAGGATCTAGGTTATGCTCAGCCTGGGTAATTTAAGAGACTCAGCAAGACTGAATCTCAAAATAAAAAATAAAGAACCGGGATGTAGCACAATGCAAAGGTCTGGGATTTAATCTTCAGTACAGCAAAAATAAAATAAGGAGTCTTGTATATTCATTTTATTTACCTAAACTTGGGGCAGTGATTGATAAGGCTCCCCAAGCAAAGGCAGATTGCCTTTTTGTTTTTTTTTAAAGCAGATTTCTTTTTCCTTACTAGGACAAGCCAGGTCTATAGTAAAGGGCCCAGGGGAACAGGATGTCCTGCTGCGGCCACGTGTGTGGGAAGCACACTGTGGAGGGAAGGGCTTGAAAATACCCAGGAAAACGCCAAGTAAGCGAGCAGGATAAAGTGGAGTCTGCTAACTGCTGTGCTTTGCTGTCCTTTTCTCTTGATCACTGTCAAAATTCAGAGGTGCATTTTGATAGGATTTTCAGTGTGGTTAGAAGACGGAAAATAAAGTAAAGTGGCCTTTATTTTATGTGGAGAGAAACTCCATGATCGCTGGGGTCTGGCTTTCTCTGCCGGATACCTGGAGAGGGGGCATACACACAGCTTTGGTCTGGGGTGGTGCCCAAGGGGCATTGCTGATGCCCAAGCAGCCCACTGGAATTCATTCTGCACCACAGGTAAATTGCCTAGGGGCCAGGAAGATGACCCCAAGGTAAACGTCCCTTGGTCCTGCCTCTCACTGCAGGAGTGTCTTATGTAGGGCAAATTCTTTCATTTTTAATGAAAAATATTGCCTTTCTGGGCATGGAGGCACACATCTATAATCCCAGCTACTGGGGACACTGAGACAGGATAACTGCAAATTCAAGGTCAGCCTGGGCAATTTAGCAAGATCCTGTCATAAAATAAAATCATGGCTGAGGATGAAGCTCAGCACTACAGGGCTTGCCTAGCATGCACGGGGCCCGTGGTTCTATTTCCCATACCAGAAACAAAACAAACAAAAAAGAGTCCATGATTCAGGGCAATTTGTGAAGGAAAGATTAAGTAATGTAAGTACAGCACAAGCTCAGAAAAAAAAAGTCACAGTAAAACTCACTGTTACACACAGAAAATTCACTTTATGTACTATGAAATCTTAAAGTTATGTAAAAATATAAAAATGACATCAGAGATTAAATAAAAAGTGATGCACTTAGGAAGCTTTCCCAAAATGTACAAGAAAAGCTGGGTGTGGTGCTTATCCTATAATCCCAGCGCTCAGAAGGCCGAGGCAGGAGAATGTAAGTTTGAGGCCAGCCTGCACTACACAGAGTTAGCCTGTCTCAAAAAGAAAACATCAAAGAGAAGAGAAGAGAAAAAAGATGTACAGAAAAACCTGGGCATGATGGTGTGTTCTTGTAATTCCACCACTTGGGGAGGCTGAGGCAAGAGGATCACAATCAAGCAATTTAGCAAGATCCAGTTTCACAATAACAAAGGGATTGGGATGTAGCTCAGTAAGAAAGCCTTGGACTGAATTTCTGGAACAACAACAAAAAGTACAAAAGAAAGTGCAGAAAGAAAGTAAAAATGCTAAAAGGTAAAGAAAAAGACAACTACGAGTAGAATAAAACTATTAGCCAAAAACAAAACAAAACAATCACTCAACTGAACAAGGTATTTTTATAAAGTATGAGCTGTATAGCTATCAAAATAAAAATTAAGAGAGACAACAGGGACTCATTTAATGAAAAGAAAGCTCGAGAAATTACATTAGCACAAACCTCTCAACACTATGATCATAAAGCTGCTAGCTGTTGAGATATCCATACATAACACCTGTGGCTTATAGCCAAGCATTCTGACTTAGCACCATCTGGTCAAGTGAAAATTCTCTGAATTCTGAAAGCTATTGACAAAGCAAATTCTCTCTCCACCCAAAAAGACAATGCATGAGTCATGAATTTACCTACAATTCAGCCGGGCGTGGCGGCTCATGCCTGTAATCCCAGCACTCAGGAGGCTGAGACAGGAGGATCATTGCGAGTTCAAGACCAGCCTGGGCTACAAAGTGAGCTCAAGGTCTGCCTGAACTGCATAGTGAGACCCTGTCTCAAAAAGACAAAAAAAAAAAAAAATTCCTACAATTCAATAAAGAAATATTAGAAGCATAAAACCAACTAATCATAAAAATTAAAGAATGAGATGTGTATGGTGGTACAAAACTATAACACCAGCACTCCTAGAAGCTGAAGCAGGAAAAAACCTAAGTTTAAGGCCGGCCCAGGCAACTCAGCAACACCCTGTCTCAAAAAAAGAAGAAGAGCTGGGCTGTAGCTCATTGTGAAGGTTTTGGGTTCTGCGAAGTCATCGGTGATGACCCAGCCTGAATCTAGGGGCTCCAGAAGAGACTTCCTGGAGTAGCTCCAAAGGAGGGTGTGAGTCCCAGTTCATTGAGCTGGGTCTTTTATGGATAGTGCAGGGAGTTAGTGGGATGGGCTTAGGTAGGGCGTGAGACAGGGACCACCAGCACTGCGACCCAGCAGGTGGGTGGGCATGTGCTGTCCCAGCAGAGCAGGCGGCTGGGAATCAGGGCGCTGGGCTGCAGGAGGAAAGAGGAGGACAGCAGAGGAGGGTGAGACCTACCGGGTCCAACCCCTGGTGCTGCAAACAACAGTCACAAACCAACCTGAAAAACTAAAGAATGATAAACCACTTATACCGTCAATATTAACAGAACAGCAGAAGATCAACAAAACTGATACCATATTTATTAACAGAACACACTCAACAGATGTAGGGCTGTAGCCTGATGATTTGCTGATGAGGACAGAGATATGTTCTGAAGCAAGATAAGGATTCTAGCTGTATTCAAACTGGACTTCTCACTAAAGAAAGGAAAATCAAAGAAACAGAGATGCTATACTCATATCTGAAGGAGTAAGATTCCCACAACAGAAGTGTGAAATCACT